AGATAAAACTCTAGCACGGTGCTGTTGTAACAAATGCGCAGTGGCCTGTGACACGCTGTCTGTGTAGGCACCACCGCGCCCCAACACCGTTACTTGGAGCCATTCCGTTCGTGAAGACACCTGCTTAAAGTAGGGAAATCTGCGTGACATTAGCCATTGTAAATATTTGTATTATTTTAATGAACTTATCATTTCCTTAGCGTGCAAAAAGTTGTTGGTTAAGCTATACACGATAACATTTTCTCAACCTTTTCACTCACAGTTAGTGAGAGAACAATAGGATCGCGTGGACTAACAAAGATGTGATTGGTGTGTGCTATCGTCACTTGTGTTTACCAGTTATGCCAATCAGTTACCGTTTCATATCTTCACAGTTATGATATTTCCATTATGCGAGTTTTTATTGTTGTCTAGTCCCATTTTCTCTTGCTTTCCAACACCATTGTATTAGTCACAGCGTCATGAATATCGTCAGACGGACGCGCGATCCGCCGCCATTTTAGTTTGGGGCTGAAGGCCGTTACGTCAATTGTTACTGTAATTCGTTCTGAAAACCAGTAGATAAGACGTACCATGTCCAGTAGAAAGCTATTTGTTTTATATTTACAAGTGGTAAACAGTGCCTGTGGAACTGTTACGCCTGTGGTTTGCTACATTTGTCACGTGCATTGTAAACAATTCCCAATGACTCGGCGTAAACGTGTATCCTACCTAGGTACATAGGTGAATGGCCAAAAATACGTGAAAATATGAGTTGCGTCTTACATTCTAGTTTATCAAGTTATGTAAGCCATCATCATTCCGAATCCGTTATGTTGTCCAGTATGTTTTGATTTCGAAATATAGTATATATTAAATTAATTGTCTTCAATTGGATATTTTGTGTGCTGACTCTTAATTCGTCTTAAGTTTGAAGTGAACCACTATATTCGACACACCGTACGTACTCTGTTCCGACTGCACTCAGCATGTACTGAGGCAGATAGCTATCAAAAAAGCATGAATGATATCGGATTTACAAATTTTGAGTCATCTGGTCGTTTTGTTAGCTTTGGTTCACGTATCCACTTCCTGGAAAGCAAAGGACTATGACTTATGAGTCACTACAGTCACTACCAAGCTACCTGGTGGCGATGACGTCACTGCCCCGCTATGCGCATTGATCTACCGAGCTCCGGCGCGTGCGCTGTGCCCACTTTGTTTATGGTGTCGTGAATTTGTAATCGTTCTCTCCGCGGTGCGGTATAATCACAAAATGACAAGAATGTAGCATTGTTCTAAACTAACCATTAAACTGGACACATTCTGACTCACCTCGATAACTACTGCTGTAATTATTGCAATCATTATGGATCGTATCACGCGGTAGAAATATTTTTATTAATAAAATAATTATTATAATTTAATGATTTTATTACTGGATGCAGTTGGTAATTCCTCACTGATATCTACTCGTAGATATAAAAAATATGTGCCTATATTATATTATTATGTATTGAGCTACAACGAATAAAGAATTTGAATGAAGTAATTATGTCGTTTTGCACTTGATGCGAAGCTCTATCTAATATGGTTGCGTAGTTACAGATGGCCGTTGGAATCACACGTGTAACGACCCATTGTATTTTATACCGCACTTACGTTGCTTTACAATATTGCACTCTCGTGCGTTGAATTAGGGTCACAAACCAATAATTTCGCTAGATTTATCCCAAATAAGAATATATTGCATTGTCTATAGTTTCAGAAACTTTAGTTAAATGTGTAGTTGTATGCATATGTCGTGGCCACATCTGATTTCGCTCAATTATCAGTTTGACCAGATCATTAAATAGTTCTCTACGATTGTCCGAATCGTGTAAATCGATTTATTTAACTTTAATCACCTAGTGCTATTACAAAGAGCCCTAAATGATGTAGTACCTGTAGGTACCAAATGTGTCAGGGTGCCCTCAGTTATGAGTTTACTTGGTAGAGTAGCAGTAAAAATACGCCTTGGTACAAGGCGTTGAGAACAAGGGAGACCACGAACACATTTCTTCTGGTTGGTATCACCAGTTTTTACAGCGCCTCTGCCGGTAATTAAAGAAACTATTTTACGATATAATGAAAATAATCTTCATTGCTTCACGAATTTATCATACGGTTAGTTGGACACATACAGGAACAATGTTAAATCATTGATTTGCCATAAACCACATACTGATGTCGTCAGTTGGCAGTCATACATTTAATAAAATGCAACCATGCCATGCATACTCGGGCCTTCCATGAAGTGAACACGTCTAAGAAATAACCAAGTGAAAATTTAACACACTTTTACTAAGTTATTGGGTGCTATCAGTTAAACTGCCATGCAATAATATTTTTTGGATTTCGTTAAGTAAATCTAATTAACAATAAAAAACATCAGTCGTATATTTTTTTTACGTTAATTCTAGTACAAGGTTGTAAACACATTTTTCACATACAAGAACAGTGCGGTATCCGCTTGCATTGCGCTAGCGCAGTGGTATGTGCATCTGTTGCGCGTGCGACTGCGCGCGCCACGTTGTGTAATGTGAATGTGCATTATTGGCTTGATAGCGAATTCACTATAACACTTTCGATGCGTGACCAGGGACTGAATCAATATGTTCTGATCAAGAGCTGAATGATAGCTCGTTACTTTGCACAAAGAAACCACCGTCGAGGTTGTTTACATTTATACCAAGAATGCTAAAGAATAAATTACATTCATAGTAGAGCATTCGATCCACGAAGTCTGTAGTCCAAAGATCAACATGGCGATAATTTTTGCTTTACTTAAACAAGTTATACTTTCTCCCCTTATTACAAAACAAGGTTTATCTTTAGTCCAGGTTTAAACCATTGAGTCAGGTTTTGAATTTTGAATCTTCAATTCTTCAATTCTAAATACGAAAACTGGCTCAATGGTTTAGTCCTAGACTAAAGTAAAACCTTGTTTTGTAATAAGGCCGTCTAAGTTTATTTACACATCACTGACCATCTGTGAAGGAAAACCTGGACTCTTATAATTTCCGACCCACAGGGCGATGATGATAAAATAAACACAATACTTGAAAACAAAAGCAAATTTGAAACATGCCTAACACTGGACCGTATACCTGCGCAGTTTACTGGGGGCAGCGAATGTATTTAAAAACATGTTGGTTTTAAAGTTTTTAAGTATAATTATTTGGTCAAACACGAATAACATTCTAGATTTAAGAACAGCTATTTTTAAAGGAAACTATCAAAAACTGAGTAGTAGAATTTTATTTTGCCACTAAGTTTAATTTCACCGATTTCACAGCTTAATCTGCAGTCACGTATCGGACGGTAACAGATCCATTTTATACAAATTGCAAGATGTATATAGACTTAAAAGATATTCTTTATAAAAAGTAGTCTTCAATTTTATAAAAAAAACTCACATGGATATGGTAAATGATAACGGTGATTAGTTCAATGCAAGTTGAAGGTCTTGTTATGGTTTCTGTATGAAATGTAATTTGTAGAATACATAAATATTAAAATACGTACAATTCGTTTATAGAAAAAAAGAATGAATTCAGTCAGTTAGCTATTCACTAGCGACCTGCAAAACCATTAGCATAAGAAAGTATCTTAATATCTGCAGTCTAGCTTGTGCATCGCCAACACTTTCCCGTAAAGTGTACGATTGTTCTTATTAAACCTCCATGATTGGTGGTCGAGCGGTTACTCGATCTTGTGACGAATCGATTGTAACTCGATTATGTGGAGAGCGCGTGCTGTGCTCGCACTACTGCTGCTAATTGGATTGATGTATTCATGACTATATACAATAACGGTCAAAGAACTTTAGTTAGTCTACGCTGACATTGGACTATCTACAACTTTTACTACATAATTCGTTAAGGATTCTTGTAACGGCCTAAGGTCCTTATAAATAAAACAACTCTCTTTTCCAACAGAAGAAGAAGAATGGCAATATAGATATTTCGAGTAAAATGGTTAAACCTTTCTTAAATACGTCAATTAAATAATAAGAAATATGTTAAATCTTAGTGTATTGAGGGCAACTGTATCGTGGAATAAGGCTGTAACCGTTCGTTTACTGGTGGTCACCGAGTTTTGGGCCAACTTCAGCGCGCGTGCGGTAACAGTAAATACGTTAGAGCTACCTAGGTACGATAGGTAATAAATTGGAGCCGCGGCCAGCGGTCTATCGGAGCCCCGGGAGAATGTCGGGCGCTCTCGCTGCATTACGTGCAAACCTATAGCGGGATACAAAATTTTCAAGCAATAGACTTGCTAGCTTTACTCAATTTTTTTACGGGTACTTCTATGTGTGTCCACCTTTGTTATTCGTATTGTAATTTTGTGTGTAAATGTCACAATAAATCATGAAACAAGGTCGTCATTAGGGGTCAAAACAAACGAAAAGTATATTAGAATGAGGGTAGGATGATTTGAATATATATTATTGGCATATCTCCGTGATGTGCAATTTGTTAAGCGGTTGTTGGGCGGTGTCAGTAGCGGCCGCTGGCTCGTGAGCCTTGCGCCGCCTGCAGTGACCCGGTTTCACGGAGTCTGTACGTAGTGCGCCTGTATGCAATATAGCGTTTATTCCTCCGTATCGAACTGTTTGCACAACACACACACACACGCTGCCGTCCGCCATACCACATCAATAACCTTTCTGCGAGTGACGTCATGGCGTCACTGCACTCTACGTAGTTTGTTACTGTGACCAACTACTTTCGGCATATTCCTCTCCTAAGCTCTGTAAATGGCATCCTTTCAATCGTGGCAATTCGAGGCACAGTAGAAGAACAACAGGACCGCGAACGCCAGCGGTCGCTTGGAGTTTGATGATTGATTGATTGATGCTGCAAGCTGACAGCGATTATGTCTTATTCTATTAATAATACTGTACTTTGCTTTGAAAAAAATGTATTGTCAATGTTAACTTCACTGCAGCTTCTTATACATATGTATATTTGTTGTAGCATGCTGGGCAGTGCTGGCGGCGTGTGCGGCAACATTGGCTGTGGTCCACGCCGCCAGTCCGCTGGGCCCCTCTGACAGACCTGAGGCCTACTTCAATGGCAGCTCCTACATCCGGCTCTCCAGACCTATATCACTGAAACAACTCGTCGGTCTCAGTTTCCGAACATGCGTTGGTAAGTAACATCACAATATGATATATAATAAGAGGCTGGAGCGTATCTATGCACAAAACAAAATGTTGTTATTGGCTATGTGCGCGACGGTGGCGTCGCGTGGCGTTTACAATATTTACGGAAGCTGTCAAGTAATAACAATGAAAACATTATAATAATTTTCTTTGCAAATATAAATAAAACCAAAGAATAAAATAGTATTGTTGACATTATTTAAGCGCAATTTATTCTATAGTTTTACTGTAAAAAGGATATAATAATAAAAACCGGGTTTGAAACTATTACACATAATATTACTTTCCAACCACAAACTGAGACAAAAGACAATAAATTTCTGTTAGCCGAGCATGTAAGAAATGTGGAAGAACTGCGACATATCTGTCATTTATTTGCTTTGATTTTGTACTGCAATCAACACATTTGACAGCTGATCATCCGCATTTGTTTCCAATTTCTGCCGTGTTGTGCGCTGCGGTCGTTATCTGTCTACTACAATAGTGAGTACTTAACTTAACTTAACTTACGTAGTACGAATACTGACTGATTTTCGATCATTAGTTAAGGGAGCCAATGCTCCCAAAAGCAGAATGTAATCGTGAAAAACAAAAACCGGCGGGCGGTGCATCGCGCGCCTGGGATGCGCTGTAATGCGCACGCCGCCGCCCGCACTGTCGCACGCCCGGCTCGAGCATCAATCAAAGCAATCCCGAGCAGTGAGCGTCATTACATCAGCGAGTTTTTGCTGATTATTCGCGTAATGACGCGTGCACGTGTTTTATAGCATTGCAGAACACGCTCCGACATTCTCGGTATCGAAGATTGGTGACGTTGACAGATATCCACTGGTCTTTGATGAGATTTAATAAGAGAGTTACCAAATAAAAATCAATCTGTCAGTTTATACTTCGGCAATTCTAGACTCTTCGTCCTAAATCTGATTTCAAATTGAGTAACTTTGGCGCAGAATACAACGAGTTACCTTACTCGCGATCATTTTATATCGGACTGAAGATAATCAAATAACTTGGAGCATTTGCATATTTAATTATTCAAGGTTAATATGTATTATGGTATGGCATATGGCATACGGGCTGTCGCTGTGCCATCATGTCCGAGTGTTGATGAGGCTTGGTATTGTATTTGTCGTGATGGAGGCGCGACGACCGTGCGCCGGCGACCGGCGACCGGCGATGATTGCCATCATATACACCGAACTACGTCACAACCGCACATACATTTATCGGCTCCACAAACCGGTCACGATTCACGTCGTTGTCATAATTCCGAGCGACACCGTGGTGTTATCACCTTCTCATTAGTTACGTAGATGAATATGATCCAATTATGCGAACACATTATAATATATTCACTTTTATAGTGTACCATGTCAGTCAATAAGGCTATACTACCGACTAATATTCTGTAAACATTGCCGTATATTATAACGAAGTAGCGTAGTATATTGGCCGAATTAAACTTAAATGTATAATAATATAGACACAGAATAATAGTTACACAAAAAAATATTATGATAATTCGTTTTTGTCTGTTCTGTTTATTTTTGTGACGGCATGCCATAGTAAATATTTTCTTATAATTCTAATGATCGTGGTCGTCGATTAGGAAAAGGTTATGTACCGAGCTCTTATAAGACGATGCTAATCTTGTCGTTCCACAGCCCTTCTTGTTCATTGCAGACCATGGTCGCTGCTTTATCTTTAGATATAAACCCCCCAAAACGAATTTGACTACCTCACAACTCTCTACTGTGCAACCTTTAAGAGTTCTTATTACTTGGTTTTTAATCGATTAAAATATCCAACACTAGTCGAGAATAGGGACGTTTCTCAGGTTGGAGACGAGTCCGTTCACTGACAATAACGCTGTCCGTTCAGACTTCGCGGGAAAATCTTACCACCACTTCCGTATCTTTGTTACTTTCGCATGCAAAAGCAGTTTTAACTAAGGTCGTTGGTCATAAGTACTTTTACATTGTATTTAAACATATACATTGACAGTTTTTTAAACTTCGATATAGCTAGACGGTGGCAAACTCCGTACCGTTTGGAAATTGAAGAATACATTGTCAAGACTAAATTGACCAAATCGGTGCAGCCGTTCTCGTGTTTTTGCGACACTAACCCACAGCAATTCATGTTTATACATAAGATTACCGAGCTGGCTGTGATCCCCGTTATCTGGTATCCGACCGTTCCTTGTTTTATAAATTGCATTAATTCTAGTCTCAGGGAACTCGTCGTGTGCTAAATTACTCGTAAACTTGTACATCATTGACAGTAGGTGCTAGGTGTAGCTATTGATGTAGTAACAAACGGGGCACGAGGCAGGTGTCGAGTGTGCGTTGAGCTATCTTTGAGTTAAAAAGTAATATCTACTATGTATTTCTTGTGAGGATCGAAAACGTGCGGTTCGCACCTGCTGACATAGTTATACTAAGTTTGTTACACTGCAGAATATTGTTCACTGCAGTCTCATTACAAAACAAATAGGTAATACTTTTCTAAAAGTGTCCTTGATTATAATAAGCAGCAAGTTAAAAGGTCACTGCATACAGATAACGTTAGCATGGCACTTAGCCTTACTGCGTTCCGTTTGTTGCTTGTGTCTCCCAGCGGGTCGTGGCTACTGAAGTAGATTCCCACGCTCAGCTTAACTTGTATTGTAGTGATGGTTTAGTTGGTAATTTTAATAACATTTCCTGATTACTTTTTGAGACCATGTTCGAATAATGTTTTGCCGTGATTTCATATCCCATATGTGTATAGAAAATAAATAACCATAATATAATAATGTGCAATTAATCTTCTGGTTTTAACATCAAGGACGTTCCGTGCTCACGATGACTACACGTACTAGCAAACTATTGGTATTAAGAGAATGTTGTTGCATTCCAGGCGGCGAGCTATTCTCGCAGCGGTTCGAGGGGTATACCCTGCACGTGACAGCACTGTTCGAGCAGGTGGTGGTGTCGTGGGCGCGGCCGTCGCAGCCGCACCGCGAGGTCGGGCTCGCTAAGGAAACGTTGGACAACCGATGGCACTGGGTCGGGCTGCGGTATAACTCCGACCCGCCGTCGCTGCTGCTAGAGGTCGATAAAGACACGCAGGTACGTTGTTTGCCAATATCAGTCGCCAGTGGGTGTCTCCATATTCTGCGGTTGTTTCGCTTTTATTATTAACGCGCAATGCAATTGTATCAACAAATCTTGTCCCACTATGCGTATTGGTACAGCTGATTATGGTTGCTGGCTGCTTACTTAATAATTCAAATAAAAATAAATACTCGCAAGTGCGGCTACATCTACATTAGAATGTTGTCAATTAGTTATTGATTAGTCGGTGTACGTGGATAGCTGTGTGGAAGATATTATTATTGACACTACTTACCAACATACGAATACAGTGTGTAGAGGGAGGCGTGAGTTGCCGGCGTGTGTCTGCACTCGCCAGTTTGCGTCACCACACCTCGTTACCGCCCACTTCGCACGCGTTGCTTCTCCATGTTAAAGCATTCATGTAATATACTTATTGTTTTATAGCGATATTATAACATGTAAAGTATTGCCGTGATACGAGAATATCACATAATTTCTAGTACTGTCGGCAACTAGCAAATTAAGCCAGCGGTTGACGAGGACAAATTAGTTCATGTCAGCTGTTCGTCAAAACGTTTGTGTAGGAATTCTTACAAGTAAAAGGGAAGTAGGTATTTCTCCTGATTGACACGCACATAGTAAATAAGAAGTAAGTTGAGGGTGCTTGACTAGTAGAGTGTGTAAGCAGATAATATCGAACGTGACGTGGAACCCCGAGCTGCTGTCGCCGGGCGCGCTGGAGGCGGGCGGCGCCGTGCTGCTGGTGGGCAACGTGTTCAGCGGCTGCATCCTCGAGGGCCCGCAGCTCGAGTTCCACGCCGCCACCTCGCAGATCAGGAACGTCGTCTTCGGCCACTGTCCTTTGACCACAGACGAATGTGAGTACACCACATCAGCATACATAGTACCTATAAACTAACTCAATTAAATAATTACTGATTACGTTAGGTATATTATAATCTTTCAATCAAAGCTGGCCGATAGAATAGAAGATTTATAGGCGATAGAAATTAAAATTATAAAATAATTTGATAAACCATAGTAGAAGTAGGCACGTTATTCACCATTCTCTGCCTGTTGAGGGTAATTAGTAAATGTAATGGTGTTGTGAGCCGACGTGGACTGTTCCCAGGTATCGACAGGAAGGACGTGCTGCGCATCCAGCCGAAGGACCACTGCTACAACGAACCCTGCATGAGGCACGGCACCTGCATCTCGCGACATGACCGGTCAGTACTGATGAACACGAATGAGTTTACTAATGACGTTAGTCGAGTATTGGTGATTCGTCGTTTTAATTCTTACATTACCTTACTAGAGGCGAATGATTCATCAATAGTTGGTGTTGTATTGTTGAGTGCCGTGTAACGCGCAGGTACGAGTGCCACTGCACGGCGCGGTACACGGGCAACAACTGCGAGGTGGACGCGGGCGACCCGTGCGCGTCGGCGCCCTGCCAGCACGGCGGGCGCTGCGTGGAGGAGCCGCGCGGCTCCTACTCGTGCGCCTGCCCCGCCGGCTACCACGGCGCCTACTGCGAGCTGGAGGAGTCGCTGGACCCGCAGTGCGTGGCCGGGCCCTGCCACCACAACGCCAGCTGCAGCGTGCCGCCCGGCGCCGACACCTACGTCTGCGCCTGCCCGCCCGGTGCTTATACTCACTTATTTATACCACGCACTTAGCGCTTACACGCGTAGCGGGCAAGTCGAGCTATCGTGCCATAATGTCGCGTTGTTGCAATGCCTGCAGGCTACACGGGGCGGAACTGCGAGACGGACGTGGACGAGTGCGCGACCACTGTGAACCCGTGCCTCAACGGGGGCCGCTGCCAGGACGCCGTGAACAACTACACCTGCGACTGCACCGGGACCGGTACGTGGGCGTGTATGTGCCGAGGGTGTATGTGGAGTGCAGTAGAGTGAGGAGAGTGTTGCGCAGGGTACACGGGCGCGCGCTGCGGCGTCAACGTGAACGAGTGCGCGGACGCGCGCGTGTGCGGGCACGGCGTGTGCTACGACACGTACGGCGGGTTCGTGTGCGCCTGCCTGCCCGGCTACCAGGGCGCGCGCTGCCAGCAGCCCGCGGCCTGCGCGTCCGGGCCCTGCGGCGCGGGCGGCGCCTGCGTCGAGGAGGCGGGCGGCGCCGGCTTCCGCTGCGTCTGCGCGCGCGGGTACGTGCCGCCCTACTGCGCGCCTGCGCCCTCCGCGCCGCCCGCGCCCTCCGCGCCCTCCGCCGCCTCCTGCAGCGACCTCGTCTGTCCGCCGCACTCGCACTGTCAGTATTCCTTTGCTTGCTATCCCACGTCGCACCTCGCCCCCGACCGGCTCTTATATCGAAGTATTTTTCCCACAGGTGTGCCCAACGTGATGATAACGGGCGTCGTCGCCAAGCAGGTGACGTGTGTGTGTGACATCGGCTACTACGGTGAGTGTCGCTCGGTGTTCCTGTGCCCTCGTGGCGTGGCCATGAGCCCAAGGTGGCGTGTAGTAACTGAGGCGTGTGACAGGCGCGGCGGGCGCGGCGCCCAACTGCAGCGCGCTGGAGACGGCGTGCGAGGCGGGCGTGTGCCTCAACGGCGCCACGTGCTCGCTGGCCGGCGACCGCGTCAACTGCTCGTGCGCGCCCGGCTACAAGGGTACGTACGCCGCGCGGCTCCGTGCACCCCATACCGTGCTGTAGTGGCCCTCTGTGCTTGCTGTGTCTCCTTGTGGCATGAGTGTACTAGTGTGTGTGGCGCTCTGCAGGCGCGTACTGCGAGCAGGCCGTGGGCAAGGCGCTGTCCGACCTGAAGGCGGCCGAGCACTGCGCCGCGCAGCCCTGTCTGCACGCCAAGTCCTGCCAGGACCTCGTGAGTATTCCCAGCTGCAGTGTTCGCTTATATTGCCTTGTTTGAGCATGATTGTGCTTTCATAAACTCATCAATGTGTTTTGGTGTTTGTTTATTCTATTGTACTTATAACATGAATATAATACGATTGTTTTCTTAATAATACATAAGTAGTCTTAAAGGTTACGAATTAAAACGTACAATATTTTGAATGCGAGTCTTACACTACAAGAGTTTTGAATCGGAGCACGCATTAATGCCGAGCAATAAGAGCGTGGTACCCAGTGCGTGCAGTGCAGGGTGATAGCGTGGAGTTTGTCAGGCGAGCGGATTCCGGTGCGAGTGCGAGGCGGGGTGGGGCGGGGCGCGCTGCGACGCGGAGGCGGGCGAGGCGGGGTGCGCGGCGCGCGGCTGCGACAACGGCGGCGTGTGCCGCGAGTCGGGCGCGTGCGAGTGCCGCGCGGGCTGGGCCGGCGCCGCCTGCGACGTGCCGGCCGACTGCCGCGCCGCGCCCTGCGCGCCGCACCACGAGTGCGTCGAGGCCGCGCCCGCCTGGCGCTGCGCCCCCGCCGCGCCCGACTCGGCCTGCGCCTCGTCGCCCTGCCACAACGGCACGTGTCTGGCGCTCGACTCCGGCCTCTTCCGCTGCCAGTGCCCGCCCGGCAACAACGGTCAGTCACACCTACTCCTATGTGCTCCTTTTTTTATGTAATAACTCAGCAAACGAGCAGACGGATTACCTGATGGTAAGCGATCAGCGCCGCCCATGGACACTCGCAACGGAGGAGCTACGAGTGCGTGGCCGACCTTTTAGGGATAGGGATTAGGAGATTTAGGGATTGGGGAAGGGTTCGGGGAGGGGAAGGATTGGGCTTCCGGTAACCTCATTCACACGGCGAAACACAACGCTGTGGTTGTTTCACGCCGGTTTTCTGTGATGCCGTGGTATCACTCCGGTCGAGCCGACCCATTCGTTCCGAAGCATGACTTTCCCACACTTAACCTCTCTTAACTTTAATCCTGAATAAGTTATTTTTTCCAAATGTTAAAAATCCTCCTTTTTATTTCCGACAGATGTATACTTTTGATTTTTTAAATTACTTGTTAAATATGATGTACTTAAGTAAGTCAAATTAATTCACCACCTCTAGTGGGTGGTGCGTATAGATACTTTGTTTTTCATTAAGGAAACTGTAAAACACACACACGTCGAACTTTACTAACCATCCTACTACTATTATAAAGGCGAAAGTTTGTAAGTATGGATGTATGGATGTTTGTTACTCTTTCACGTAAAAACTACTGAATGGATTTGAATGAAACTTTACCACAACATAGCTTATACATCAGAATAACACATAGGCTACAATTTTTGAGGTTTCTAATTTGAGATCGTAAAAAAAACACATTCTTTGCGCTTACATTGCAAACCTTGGCCGAAATAAACAGCGAAACATCAGTGTATAATTACATTGACACAGTTATGCTATCCGATGACACTACAAGTTATTCCGTAGAGTTCCTAAACTCTTTAGATTTGTCCGGGCTGCCATCACACAAGTTGGAATTAAAGGTACGGTCAGCTCTATGTGGCTTGCTCACGTGTTTCCAAAGCAAAGAATCTGCATGTTTATGCTGAAGGAAAAAGATCGTTAAATGTAGTTTATAGGAGCATACTGGAGTAGCTACCTATAGACCTATGCTTAGTTACCGTATTTCTTACTTATTACTAGACTAGACGGGACGAACCTGAAGTCCATGCGAACGAAGTCGCGGGCAAAAGCTAGTATTTAATAAAACAAGCTGTAAATCTTTTTCCTTATCTTTATTACTTACATAACAAGGTACAGAAACGATACTGATCTATTCATCCTCAGAGAACACTTTTCCAACTAAGTACGCCGGCGTGTCGCGCAACCTTTTGCCTTTCAAATTAACAGAGTATGGCAAAACCGAAGGTTGCCGTCTGTAGATTCCTCTTCCTTCAGGTGTCCAGGCCCGCACTTTACAACTCGTTCCCTTCTTAGCTGTGACTCCGACCCAAGCTACAGAGGACAACACAATGTCCCCACAGACCCACTTAGGTCCCTCTCCAGCAAACTCCAATAAGTCCGAAGTATGCTGCAGCCCCGGCCACCTACTGAGCCTAGCAAGCCCCCCACTGGGCGCCGCAAACAGCTCCGTGCCCACAAACTTGTCATACACCTCGTCAGCATCCTCAGTCTTTGTTACAGTTATCGGCAAACTCTCTGAACAAAATATAGTGAACCGACATGGCTCTTCACTGTCTACGAGGTCTACCCGAGCGAGACCGCCAATGAACAACGTGCTACCTTCATATATGAAGTACGTCTGTGGTCTGATCAATTGTTTTGGAATGGTAACAAGCAATTCCTCAGTGCTAAGGAGCGACAGAACTTGATCAGGGTGTATTACTCCCGGCGTGTCATACAACCATTTGCTCTTTGCAAATATTTTATCCCTTTCATTCAGAACTGTCATTCTTTGTTTATCTAAATCAATATCGTCGACGTCATAGAGTTCAGAGAAGGACCTTCCAATATGTCCAATCAAGGCGGGTGCTTCCTTAGGTATTTTACCATGCAATTGAGCATTTCTAATTTCTTTTTCAACTTTGTAGAGTTTGGCTTCGGATTGCAATCTTCGAGTTCTTTGGTATATTTTCCAACCTGAAGGCCTATTTATAGGGAATTTGAGAAGATTTAGTGTTGTACCAGGCCACCGACTCACAGTGGCACGTTTGATGATGTCCACAGCATGCACTTTGCAGTAGTCAGACTGCAGCAAGGCATTGAACAAGGAGCTCTTGCCTACATTGGTGCAGCCCACAAGGAACACATCGCCTTTGTACAGCCACAGTTTGAACATGGCTGATATGAGGTCTTCTACTCCGTAACCTGTTTTAGCTGATATCAGAGCAACATGTTTTATGTTGGCCTCATTTAGCTTCGTTTTTTTTACTTCTGTCATTAAGGATTCTTTAACACGTTTCAAGTATCCAATACTATCACCAGGCAGCAGGTCGACCTGCAACATTTAACAGTTGACCTGAGAATAATAAATAACAAGGGAACTTTACTTGAAAACTTGCTGAAGTGCAGTTGCTGCCTTACCTTATTAGCAACAAGTATAATGGGTCTGTCTTTCCCAATGATATCTACAATGCCGGGCCATATTGAGCAGGGGAAGTCCAATAAATCAACCATGAGTAGAACAAGGGACTTTACATTTCTGAAATGATTTTTTAATACAACACATTAGCTACCAGTATCCTCAAATTGAATGTCTTCTGCAATAATTATACATAATATAAAAAGATTCAAGAACACTCATAGATTGATGTCCTGTTGTTATTTACCTGATGGATTGCAATAATTTTTCATACTCTTCTGGCTGAACACTAACATCCAGTGCAATGTTGTACTCCTTCAGGAAATGACATCTTTGGCACTCCATAGTCTTGAGTTCCTCAACTGCTCTATCCTTGTAGATCTCACTGGGAAGGTATCCTGGGATGGCAGGGTCGCTACAGTGAAGCAGAGCACCACAGCCCCCACATGGCACCTTGCTCACTCTGACTGTTGGGTCAGGAGTACCATAATATTTGGACCATTCACTCTCATCTTCAGACCCATCATCAAAGTTCTCAGAAATTTTGCTGTCATCAAAGTACTCATAGTTAGTCATCCACTTATTTATGTCTGATCTATCAAATTCGTCATCAGGCTGCGGTACTGCTGCAGGTATTTTAGTATTGGCAACTGATTGTGATGGAATTTCTGGCTCGTCACCATATTCTATTGTCGTAGGCGACCCAAAGGGTAACTGCAGCTCTTCATCGAGTTCCAAGACTTGGTTGCTATGATTTTCAGCTGAAAGCAACTTATCATTATCCACATAGTACTGTAATGCCACTGGGAGTGGGGGTAAACTTTTCTCCTGATATTCTTTGTTTAGCGTGGCATTTGCTTCTTTAATAACTTTCTTATGATACTTAAAGTAGCCTAATTTCAGCTTGTCGTTTTCCAAGTATGAGTTGAAAATTATTTTGTCTTTGTATTTCTGCAATAACTCTGAATAATCTTTCGTTTCGTTGTTTTTGTTTGATTTTTGTTCCGTTTCAGAGCTTGTTATAGCTCGAGCTTGCGTATACCGTTTGTTTTGTATAACTACTTGTCTCCGACATAACCTCAAAACATATTTAATTGAATAGAGCATCATGTGGCTTCATACTCCATTAAATGAATTACTTTCTATATTTATACATTATTTTAAGAATAGTCGTGTATTATCTCAACTTAACAAATCAAGTTTTCATTTAGCACACGAAATAACTAGATAGGTAACAATAACACCGTCCCACACAGATTTGACATAACCTATCATGAATGACAACTGACAAGTGACAGGACAGGTGTCATGTCCGCTGATATTTTTTGGAGTTTATGGCCTGGATACTAGTCTTTTAAGCCATGTCCTCTGTCAAAGTCATACTTAGTGTTGCCATTGTTAGAACCGGTTACATTAAACGTTCCGTTTATTCGTTAATTAAAAGTTGTATTTCAATTTTAATTTTATATGTGTATATGTATAAAAATATAAAAATGTGTCAATATAAACATAACTAACTACTGTTTGTTTTAGTTTCTGTTAAAAGTATGTGCGTAAGAGAAGAATACTTATTGCATATTTCATATATTTACTGCTTTACAACTGAGACCGAATGAATATATTTTTCTTTAGTTAATATTCAGTTCCAATGCAGCTGTTGATCACTGCACTTTGTCACTTAAACTGATCGTGAAATATATTTTACTTTGTGAATAAAATATTGAATGTATATTAACTGTTTTAGTCTCAATGGAAGATGTTGTTAAAATTATTGTATATTTACCTTCTGTTTTTCATGAAAGGTAAGAAATTGTTAGAATAATTAGACTATTATACATTTAATAAATTATTTCTTTTTCAGGGCGTTTCTGTGAATTGGACATAGACGAATGTGCAATAATGCCGAAAATATGTAATCACGGAGTATGCGTTAACGTGCCCGGCTCGTACGAGTGCTATTGCAGGCCAGGTGAGTTGCAAGATGTCGCAAATATGTAAATCTGTCCTCAATTCGAGCCAATTAGCATGTAAATATATGTATGTTGCGGCGCAGGCTATACGGGCGACAGCTGCGAGCAAGACATCGACGAGTGCCTGTCGTCGCCGTGCAAGAATGGTGGCTCCTGTCAGAACCTGGAGAACAATTACGAGTGTACCTGCATGGAAGGGTTCGAAGGTAGCTAGAGGAATACTATGGAATCAGTATTGGATATGTATATATTCTACCAATTCAATGCTCATGTTATGTATCATTAACGAATTTTGCAGGCAAGGATTGCTCCATCAACATTAACGAATGTGAGAAGAATCCGTGCGCCGCCGGCTCCACGTGCGTGGACGGCGTGGCCAGCTACTCGTGCCTGTGCCAGGAGGGACTGACCGGACCCAACTGTGAGATAGACATCGACGACTGCGAGGTAAGCCCTCGCACGAGGCCCACACGGTTCTATCGTTATGTCGTCGCCTAGTGAGACGCATGAGTAGTTAAGCGGTGGGTGGAGTATAGCGTTGTGGCGTGTCGCAGTCGGGCCCGTGCCAGCACGGCGGCAGCTGCGTGGACGGGCTGAACAGCTACTCGTGCGAGTGCGGCGGCACGGGCTACGCCGGCGACGACTGCTCCGTCAACATCGACGAGTGCGCGCCGCAGCCCTGCCGCAATGGCGGCACCTGCCTCGACGACGTCAACGACTACCACTGCAGCTGCTACCCCGCCTACGCCGGCAAGAACTGCGAGCTGGACATCAACGAGTGCGAGAGCGACCCCTGCAAGTACGGCGGCGTGTGCCTGGAGCGCTCCAACGCCTCGCTGTACCTGGGCCCGGGCGCGCCGCGCCTTCAGGTGGGCCCGCAGCCGCAGATGGTGCTGCCCGCCGTCTTCTACCAGCCTTTCTCGCTGGACTCTGCCCACGGGTGAGTATTCGCTACCCGGAGAAAGAGAGAGGGAGGCTGGCCCACATGACTTTGTCGTCGCGTTGTTCCAGGTTCGAGTGCGTATGCGTGCTGGGCACGACCGGGTCACGGTGCGAGGTGAACATTGACGAGTGCGCGTCCTCGCCCTGCGAGAACGGAAAGTGCATCGACGGCATCGGCGGCTACACATGCGACTGTTTCGCCGGCTACGAGGGAGAGCACTGCGAGCTCGAGATCGACGAGTGCCAGAGGTTAGAACATTCATTTAACTACACCTCTATTGGCGCCTGTCCTTACTCTACTTCAATTATTCTGGGTACCAACACGTTTGAAATCTATCTCCACTTCATAATGCATCAGGTACACGCCGTGCGTCCAAGGCAAATGCTTCGACGGGCGCGCGTCCTACTACTGCCTGTGCTCCAAGGGCTGGGGCGGACAGAACTGCTCCGTGGTGCTGGAGGGCTGCCGCGACGAGCCCTGCCGCAACAACGGCACCTGCCATCCCTGGCTGCTCGACGAGACCGAGCACCGCTTCAACTGCAGCTGCACCTACGGCCACTACGGGACCACCTGCGAGAAGGTACCGCACTGTACTAACATCATGTCGGCGGCTGACGGACGACGTACTGGTGCCGGTACCTACAGTATTAGCACACAATTTATTTGATTACACAGATCACGACCATGTCGCTGGAGAAGAGCAGCTACGCAGAGGTTAACACGACGCGCGAGGAGGGTTACGACATCTCGTTCCGTTTCAAGACCACACTGGCCAACGGGCTGCTGGCTATGGGTCGCGGTCTTACTTACTTCTTCTTGGAGCTCTCTAATGGCAGGCTCAACCTGCATTCTAGCCTGCTTAACAAGTGGGAGGGAGTGTTCATCGGCTCCAACCTCAACGACAGCAAGTGGCAGAAGGTACGAGTTCCGTGTAGCACAGATCGAGCCCGGTGCTGCCTTGCTAGCCGGCAGCACGGTACTAATGCAAGTAATCCGTCGGCGTCGGCAGGTGTTCGTGTCCATAAACTCGACGCATCTGGTGCTGGCGGCCAACGAGGAGCAGACCATCTACCCCATCAACCAGAACGAGGCGTTCAACTCGTCGGTGACGTCGTTCCCGTCGACGCGGCTGGGCACGTACGGGTCGTCGTACGCCACGCTGACGCACGGGCCCAACTTCTTCGTGGGCTGCTTCCAGGACGTGGTGGTGAACGGGCAGTGGGTGCTGCCCGGCGCGGCCGAGGCGGGCGCGCTGCTGCACGGCGTGCTGGGCACGTGCGCGCGCGTGGAGCAGTGCGCGCCCAACCCGTGCCGCGCCGGCGGCGCCTGCGAGGACGCCTGGTCCTCCTTCCGCTGCGTCTGCGCGCGCCCGCACCTGGGCGAGCGCTGCCAGTTCGCGTACACGGCCGCCACGTTCGGGCACGAGGGCGCCGCGCCGCGCGCCACGGCCCGCGTGCTGGCGGCCGAGCCGGCCCGCCGCGCCGTGCGCGCCGCGCTCGACATCTCCATGTTCATCCGCACGCGCAAGCCCACGGGCCACATCTTCTACCTGGGCTCGCTGGCGCGCCTCGGCCACGCCGACGAGACGCAGGTGGGCGCCTCGCTCGACGGCGGCGAGCTGCTCGTGCATCTGCGCTTCAACCAGACGCCCGAGAACTACACCGTCGGGGGCACGCGCCTCGACAACGGATACCTGCATCTCATCGAGGTCGCCGCTTCTTGCCATTCCGCGCTACCCTGCGATACTTGCTTGCAGCAACCGCGTTATTCTGAAATTGTGTACGTGTGCAGGTGGTGCGGAACTCCACGCTGGTGCAGGTCAAACTAAACGGCACCGAGTACTTCCGCAAGTCCATCTCCGCCGCTAAGCAGATCGATGCACAGGTCAGTCATGTGTACAACACAGAACACTAAAACTAGATGATAATAATAATATCAGAATATAAACAGAAACACTATTTTCGTAATAGATGTTATAAGTTATTGTCCATACGTCGCGCGGTTGTGGTCAACTTCACATCGCGACACTTGTCTTGCTTTTTACTAAGTACATGGTATGTTGGGCCTTAGCTCGACTTACTCTCTATAAGGATGTCATATTTTTTACATCAAGTACCATCATTATATATCTCAAATCTTCTAAAAGACACGAATATTAAGTGTGAAATAACACATAGGATACTTTTTAGCTAAGCAACGCTGGTGAAGTCGGAGCAGAAACATATAAACTTGTCGTATATGGCTGCAGTAACTATAGCCGACGTGTGTGAATATAATGAAATGAATAATATGCAGGTTCTGTATCTGGGTGGGCCCCCGCCGCCACTGGCTGCCAGCGGCCCGACGGGCGCGGGCCCCACCGCGGCGGACACGGAGGCGCCCCCCGCCACCAGTCCGGCGCCCAGCACGGCGGCCGCGCCGGCCGCGCCGGAGCCGGACGACAGCGCGTACTTCAAGGGCGTGATCCAGGACGTGCAGATCTCGAACGGAGTGAACGTCAGCATCGTGGAGTTCTTCCCGCTGCAGGTCCCGGGGCTGCAGCTGCCGCCGCCCTTCGGGGAGGTGCAGCTGGACCCCGGCGTGCTGCGGGGCGTCGTCTCCGACGACCTGTGCGCCGCGCGGCCCTGTCTGCATAACGCCACCTGCACCAACACCTGGAACGACTACACGTCTGTACCACTCTATGCACTTATTGACTTTGCTCTTGTATTCTAACTTAAACTACTTACGTACTTGCGTTTCTATTTGTTTCTTGCAAACTGCGATGAATTTGCAAGAAACAAATATACTTTTCATAAATAATGTTAGTACCTTGTATATTTGATCAGTTCTTAAAGTGGTTATTAAGAAATTAAGCTGACGTAAGTGTGTGGCGTGTCGCAGGTGCCAGTGTCCGCGCGGCTACAAGGGCAAGCAGTGCTCGGAGGTGGAGTTCTGCCAGCTGCAGGGCTGCCCCCTCAACTCGCACTGCCGCAACCTGGACGCCGGGTGAGTGCCGGGGCCGGGCCGGGCCGCCGACCGGGGCCGGGCCGGCCGGGCTGACTGTATGCGTGCGCAGGTACGAGTGCGTGTCCAACGCGACGTTCGACGGCGTGAACACGACGCTGTCGTACCGGCTGCGGCAGCCGCGCGGGCGCGTGGCGCGGGCGCCGGAGTCGCTGACCATGACGTACCGCAGCAAGGCGGGCGGCACGCTGCTGCACGCCGAGGACGGCGCCGCCTGGTTCACCGTGGCCGTGTTCCGGCACCAGGTGGCCGTGCACTGGAGCCTGGGCGGGCTGCCCGCGCTGCGCCGCATGCGCGCGCCCGCGCCCGCGTCCGCCGCGCCCGCCTGGACCACGCTGCGCTTCTACTTCGCCGGCAACACCATGCGCGGCGTCTTCCTCGACGCCGCCGGCCACGAGGACCTAGGGCTCACGGCCAGCCTCGACACGCGCGCCTGGCAGCGCCTCGTCACCACCGGCACGCTGCATCTGGGCGGCATCCCGCGCCCCGCGCCTACAACCACGCCCGCCATGTCGCTGGTACTAGTCTACTCACCCCTCGCTCGCTCGCCGCCTTACCGACCGACATTTGCAGTCCCTTGTTTGCTTGCAGGGTGAGACCTCGACCGACCCCAACGTGTGGGAGTACTCGGAGGGCGACGAAGTGATGGCCGACAACCTGGCCGGGGAGTACTTCAAGGTATACTTGTTGCTATATGTACTTTATAAAAATAATCAATGTGCACTATAAAGACAACATAATGTGTAAACGTAAAATTACAAATACTGTTACATTATAATCTATTTACCCAATATGGTAGTTTCCAACTAGTCAAATTCAATACTTTTATCCAATGTGAAAAAGATACTTTTCTATGAAATTTGTATGAAAAATGTAGTTACGATGTTATAGTATTTTTGCGTCAATTAGCTTACTTATTTTTTAATAATTAGCTAAAAATATATAAAAAAACCGCCTTCAAAAAAAGTCAAGCAATAAAAGTTCCTACACTAAAAAGTAAAAAATAACAATTTGAATTACTGTAAAAAAACTTAATTTATAGGTAAACTTATTTGACATTAATATTTTGCAAATATTCAAAATTTATTACTTATTTTTGGAGTCGGTGCCAGCATTTTGATGTTGAAACTTAATGTTAGTTAGGTTTTTAATATCCGGTGCCATTTTTCGTACATAATGCTTAAACATTTTCAATGTACTTAAAATGTTTTTGTAAGTACATATTTTTTATTCAAAAAAATGTGCAAATCGGACATTTTTTGTAGAAAAGTCTAATCTGTATTTATGTCTTAATTAATATACCTATATTTGAGTATGCAAATAGGTATTAAGTAGTTTTATAATTAAGTAAGAGGTAGTTTTTCAAGGGATTGTTGCCCATTTGTATTTCCTTGCATGGGCTGGCACCGACTCCAAAAATAAGTAATAAATTTTGAATATTTGCAAAATATTAATGTCAAATAAGTTTACCTATAAATTAAGTTTTTTTACAGTAATTCAAATTGTTATTTTTTACTTTTTAGTGTAGGAACTTTTATTGCTTGACTTTTTTTGAAGGCGGTTTTTTTATTTTGTAAAATTTTTTTTTATTTGTAGCCGTTTAGTGTTTTTTTTTATTATTATAATGTGTTATGGCAAAGAAGTCAATATCGTTCCTACATTTCTTTTGAAAAAGTTACCAATGTCATACTTATACGTAGAAATACATATCATAGTACATTGTTACTGTGTAATCGTTTTGATCTCGAGGAGAGATGATATGATGCATGAGATACTTATGACTTATAGTTAAAATAAAATAATAATCTTATCATAAATTCATATTAGTTCTCGCCAAATAACAAAAAACTAGATATTTTCATCAACAGACAGATAAAGTTCAAAGATACCAAATGCAATCTAATTTAGTATCTATGATTAAATACATTCGTACATAGAAAAAAGACCGATGCAATTATTGTTTTGTATCAATTGTAACCCATTAAATGAAGAATACTATTTTGTTATTACTAAGAACATTCATATATAGACAAGTTGGTAAAAATATAAAAGACCATCGCTATTGTAAATATACATTTATGACTCATTCAATGTATGAACCTTTTTTAAGTAAGTATTATCTACATATGTGCACACAAAAGAAACACAATTATTGTTTTGTACGACGCAATTATTGTTTTGTAACCCATTTAAAACGACTGTTTTGTTAAAAATGCCAATTAATTCTCTTAGCCTATTACCAGGAAAACGATAAGAACACAATGACGCATTTCACCACTAATGTGTAAACGCAGTCCACGTGGACTAATGCAAAATAGCCAATACTAGGCCAAACTCCGCCCCCAAAGGTGTGCGGTCCCGCTCTAGAACCTTTCGGCCCCATCGGCCATCTGTTCTACGAGCAATGTGCCGTGCCCACTGTCACTTAAGTTTGGCATTTCTTCGGGCTATGTCGGTGACGCTGGTTCTTCTGCGGATTTCTTCATTTCTGATTCGAACATGCACGGAAACTATGAGCATAGCCCTTTCCATTGCTCTTGACAGCTCTAATAAGCTTACACAATACTAGGCCCCATGCCAACCTTCCAGCTTCATCATCACATCAGTTCAATAGTACCTTACAGCCAAAGTGCATCTTATAACAATTCTAACAAGCCCAAACACGGCTAGGATATATTAATTAGGTACGCAGTTCCAGTGCCTACCTTCCAGCTCCATAATCATCATTAAATCAGTTCGATGATAACATTTCCAACATAATTATTTAAGATCATTGGTTTACAGTGCATTTTCATAGTTGCTGAACTACCTTGATTGTGATATCTATGCGAGTGTCAAGTTTCATCATCCATTTCTGATCTTCTTCACCAGTTCCACCTCATCAAACATTACTTTTTGACTGTAAATGCTTGAGTGCTCTATGAAAATATTAAAATTACTATATAGTTGCCTATAATATTTGAGGAGTTCCCTCGATTTCTCATGGATCCCATCATCAAAACTTGATTTTGAAAAGAATGGGACCAATCTGGAAGCATATCCTTTCAATCATAAAAAAAATTTTGCAAATCCGTCCATAAACGACGGAGTTCTGAGGTAACAAACATAAAAAAAAAAAATAAAAAAAAAAAAAAAAAAAAATACAATCGAATTGAGAACCTCCTCCTTTTTTTGAAGTCGGTTAAAAAAAAAAATAGTGTGTCAATCGATCGATGAATAAAAGTATAGTTATTTTTCAATATTTTATTGTATTGAAACGTCGAATTATTTTATTTTTAACCTAGAAAACTACTCAATTGTTGAACTGCAACATTGAGCTTAAAATATGTTGGTAGATTATAATGTACCAAAATCAATTGTATGAAGGCTGTCCCAGACTGGCAGCCTCTAGCGGATTGTTCTGTGCTTTTAAAAAGTTATGGAAAATATAGGTAATGAGTATTTTTTATATATTAATACTGTTGAACAATTGTGTGGAGTTTGAGGAGTTAGTAGTGGTTAGAGTTGCGTATGACGTGGCGGCGTGTGCAGGGCTGCATGGGCGCCGTGCACGTGGGCGGGCTGCTGCTGCCGTACTTCTCGGAGCAGGAGCTGTTCGTGGGCGCCACGGCCGCGCTGCTGGCCGCGCAGCCCCACTACGCGCTCGACGCCGGCCGCGCCTGGGGCGCCGGCGCCGGCCTGGGCTGCGTGCTGTGCCTCGAGCGGGACTGCCAGCACGGCGGCCACTGCGCCGACGTGCGCTCCTCCTACGCCTGCGCCTGCCCGCCCGGCTACGCCGGCGACTTCTGCCAGCTCGACGTCGACGAGTGCGCCGCGCACCAGTGCCAGAACGGCGCCGTCTGCAAGGACGGCGTCGCCTCCTACACCTGTATCTGCCCCGACGGCTTCGAGGGAGACTTGTGAGTCGCTCCTTCCCTTCTGTATCTCAAACCTCATTTATAAAAAAAATGCTAATTGAATAATAATTTACGTGTAATTTGTTGCGAGTAGTTGCGAGCGCGACATCGACGAGTGCGCGTCGAGCCCGTGCCTGCACGGCGGCACGTGCAAGGACGCGGCGGGCGGGTACAGCTGCGCCTGCGCCCCCGCGTGGCACGGGCCCACGTGCGCCGCGCCCCGCGACCGTACCTGCGCGCACCGGCCCTGCGCCCCCGCCGCCAGCGCCTGCGTCGACGCCCCGCCCGGTCAGTAGGCGCCGCGCGCGCTCAGTAACCGCCGGGAGCGACAGCTAATGTCTCGTTTCCGTGTCCGCAGAGCCGGCCACCGGCAACAACTTCACGTGCGTGTGTAACGAGGGCTTCGAGGGCGTCTACTGCGAGTACGCGTTCTGCGAGGTGAAGCCCTGCGTGCACGGCACCTGCGTCAACGACACCAAGGTAGGTGCGGCGCCGGCGCCTCTAGTGGCGCCGGGAGCGCGGCCACTGGAGCTCGCGTGTGTGCCAATGACGATATAACCTCTTGACGGCGCATACAGTGCCCCGCCGCTCGAAAACGATTAGTATTTTGTCGCCTATGTCTAGGCCTCGGTACTAGTAACCATTTAATTGCGTCCAAGTGTTAGACCCCTACACAAACAAAATAAAAAAAACTTTTTTTTCTTATTATTGAAATTTTATCGCAACAAAATGCTTTCATACACGACAAAGTAATGTAGGAAACATTCCAAGAAATCTATCTACAAAAAAGATGGCGTTACTTTTCATCAGTAATTAAATAATACGATTTTTTTTATTTCTTTAGATTATGCGACTCCGCAGGGATCTAGATAAAATGGTGGTTGGGTAAAAAAGCACACTGATGATACGCACGTTGATGGCTTTCGTAAAAGTCTCGTTCTTTCACTAAGCATTTCTAATGCTGCTGTCCCTTTCTTTCGTTTGTATTTTATTGTAAAAATTAGTGCTGTTACATTTAAATTTTTAATAGATGGGTTCGATGTCTATATAAATAGAATTAAATTAAGTACAATTTTTGCTAAAAAATACAGGTAAACATTTTAACAGCCTTATAAAAAGGAATTTGTCTAATTTGTATCCTTATTACTGGAAGACGGCTTTACTGATTTGGAAAACATGTTTTTTTCTGTTAAAGTTTTATTCTTCTGTGTGTTTGACATCCCTGTATGTTTTCATTTTACATTTCCGTAGATTCCGTAACTTATAGAAAAATGAATAGATATACATATAAATATTTTATAGTCAACATCGATATACCCATTTTATCGATATTAGCTATTTTCCCTTAAATGTTAGATCATCCCTATGACAGCCATACCTACGCAAGTTGACGTTGAACTGAGCAATTGCAGTCGCGCGTTATTCCTCGTCCCCCGGCCCGCGGTGGTGAGTCGTGTTCTTAGAAGAAATCGGCGTATAGATACGGTCTCTAGTGGGTATGTTTGGTGTGTGCAGAGGGCGCGCTGCGAGTGCGCGCTGGGGTACGAGGGGCGCTGGTGCGAGGCGGAGCGCGACGCCTGCGCCGAGGGGGGCGCCGCCGCCTGTCTGCACGGCGGACGCTGTCTGCGCGCGCCCGGGGACTACTCCTGCGACTGCCACAACACAGGTACACGCTCTGACCACATCACGTCAATTGCTCCACTACTGACACCTACCTACGCATTGTAATGCTCAAAATGCCTTTACTCAGAATTTTAATTCGATTCCCGATTTAACACGACATTTTGTGAAATACTGATACCACATATAACAGTGTAGTGATGAACACAAAAATCGATAAACAATCAGTGGTCAGTTTCAGGAAGGCATTCAAAAAATTCGGCTACCGAATGGTCTAAATGTGTATCCCATGTTTTCAAAGAAGAGAAAGAAATGAGTAAGCTACATATGTAATTGACAATAAAAATCACAGACACAATTCATAATAAATGTTACAGAAAGTAACAGCGATAGCGATAGCGATGACGGCGACAATTTATAAAATTTCTGTTTTATTTGTCATGTTCCTTCATCATCACATTTTTTATTAATTTCACACACAATTACAAAAGAAAATCTCAGATCGTTAATTAATTGTCAAAACTAAATTATCAGTTCAGAAACATTTTATTTCCTGATAAACTTAGTTTACGAGAGTAAATTCATAAACGAGAGGAATCGATTCAGAAATATTCGATTTCTATATCGAATAATTTCGCAACGTCACTATTTCGTTCGTGTCATAACGTTGCAACACTGAAATTGTCAAATCTGGAATGGAATTAAAATTCCAAGTATAGTGCTAATTTGTTTTCCGTTAACGCGATCGAATTACCGTTTTGCCCTTTAATTAATCAACTTGAAACCGACCAATCAAACGGCTAACATTACAAACGTAACGGTCGCCTTAACGTAAAGCAAACTGCCACACCTTCGCTTATCCCAGTAACGTGAGAAACTTTATATTAAATTATAATCAACATGAGCCTGCAACTTGTTCGAGCGGTCGCTGTTGTATCGATCAAAGTATTGTTACATGAAATGTGGAACTGTTAGCAAAATTACCTATACATTGAGCATATCAACTTTCACTATTAATGATAAAATATCTTCACCCAATAATACTCATTGAAAAATTAAGCCGACGTTGCGTAAATAAATAAATAAATAAAATACGAATCCCCGTAAGTAGGACGCGCGCCTACATCGGTATCACGGTGGGCCACTGCCACAGTTCCCAGTGTGACACATACACACACACACACACACCTTATCACAGCTCGCGATCCTCGGCCGCGCGCCGCGATATCTACTGATAGCGATAACGCGGACTGTGGCTCGCAAACTTTTATATAAACATTGCTAGCGCCCAGGTGCTCCATGCACATTACAATTTTATTATTTAATAGGCATATACAAACGAAGTGAACGAATGGGTAACTAATTGAATATTTTCCTTGAAAATCTCAATGAATCATAGGCGTCATATTTTGTGGTTTGACTTAGCTATGGACACATGTCTTTTATTTCTCAATTTTGCTTGTATTGCTATTAGTTATTTAATTTTCAGACACATTTGATACTAATTGTTATAGATCGATGACATACAAATAAAATAAACTAATTACGCAACTATGTAAATATATTGTAATACATGTGTACCTCTCGCAATTATTGTGTAGGAGGCAATAGTGGCGCGCACTAATCAATACGAGGACAATAGTGAGTAGTGTCCCCTTAGAGTTAATTGGTCGGTATCGAGCGAGGCAGGAAAATCGCGGTGGCGTCACACTTTGTGAATCAGTGTCCTCCTTGGCGGCGCGGGCGGCGCGACTAGCGCTCGGCCGGCGCACTGTCATGGACTTACTGCTAGCGAGTGCTAGAGGGTGCCAGTGAGTGCTAGTGAGTGCTAGAGAGTGCCAGTGAGTGCCAGTGAGACCCGATACCTACGGCAATGTGCGCGTGATCATGCGCGCGATCACCCTGCTGCTTCTAGTGTTGCTAGGTATTGTACAACACATCCGTGTTCATACACTTGACAATCAAACATCTGTGTAGCTACGGATTCTAAGAGCGCGAGCGCCTTGAAATACGGGCTCCAGAATTAAAGAAATACATAAATATTAACTAGACGCGCATTGTGAAGTAACTGTGATAATTGTTGATGTCAGGCCGGACCTGCTGATATCATAGCATTGTTTCTTGTCCCTGATAGTGGTGCCGACTAGATAAACAGTGTGTCATCGTGTCCTCACGCAACACGCAGGGCTTGCGTCAGTACACGCGCAGCCAGGGACACTCGCTGTTGTGGGCTGCCGTGTGAAAGTGTCCAAACAAATGGTTATCAGATAAAACGAAGTAATTATCTGCCGCTACTGTCATAGATTAGGTGACCATAATAAGGAGAGTTCATGTGTCTGTGACGCACAAATAACGTTTTACAACAGTACTGCAGTATTGACCGTCGCGTCGTCATGTCTGCGTTCGTTACTACTCGTAGCACAGCTTTACATAACACGTTTACTTATAATTTTCCTCTCGCGTCACGAGCACTCAATTCTGCAAATGTAACAAACTACTAGCACCTTGCAAGTTGACATTTATGAAAATAATTTGTAAATTAGAATCCAGCCCCATATACGATTGTGTATACAGCTACTAGCTATAGTTACATGTTATCTACACGTCATTTTAAGGAAGTACGTACGTCTGTATGTAACAGAGCATAAGTTGGACCCCGGGAAGAATATTAGTCTACGGAAACAAAATAATGTATAAATATGCAAGTAAATAAACACAGTCTTAATATAAGTTTTTATTTCAGTATATAAGCAGCGACCCTGTCGCGGTCGCACTAGTTTCCTGCTCCTCTCATTGCCACTGCATTGAGTGTTGTCGATCGACCAAAAAGTTCATAAATAGACGTTTCCACATCGTCGGCCAAACAGTTTTTGTCGCGTCGCAAAGGTTGTCAATATTTCCTGACAATTACCTTAACGCGGTGTAATTGTTTACCTGTAGTGAACCTATGCGGCATAATGTAATTCATCACAAGAGTACAATGTCAACCGATAGCGTTATCAGTGTGGTACGATTATAACTTGATAATAATAACTTGAGTGCCAGTCCTCCGTCCTCCGCGCGAGACGATGTCACTTACCGTGCCTGTTAATTATTAAAGCTTAGTATATTGTATGCCAAACAATTATATAATAGGTACAATACGTACGTATTCATTTAGTTCATTCACATATTGATTTAATTGACATTAAATATTACAATTGTAATAATGATAAATTAAAATATAATTGGCGCAACATCTGGTCGGTGCCTGTTAACCACACGGAGGCTGACTGGATGTGCGATGTTAAGCGGGAGTGTGAAACTTTACCAGAGATGGAGGAGGTAGTCATTACCTCCTCTGATGTAGCCAATGCAGCCTGTTCGGTCCCCAATTGGAAATCACCGGGGCCGGACGGACTGCACAACTTTTGGCTGAAATCATTTACCAGTTCACACGATCGCTTAGCGTCGCAGTTCCAGATGGCCTTAGAAGCTGGATCGTTGCCTCAGTTTCTGACTACAGGAATTACCCACCTGCTCCATAAATCGGGTAGTTACACTGAACCCAAAAATTATAGACCGATTACGTGTTTACCAACGGTCTATAAACTTTTTACATCCATTTTGAGAGCAAAAATTACAAAACATATAGAAAAAAATGCCGTCATGTCTGTCTCTCAGAATGGATGTAGAAAGGGGTCACGTGGAACTAAGGAGCTACTCCTCATTGATATGGTCATTAGCCAGCAGGTTCGTCGATCCCGAAAGGATTTGTCTACATGCTGGATAGATTATAAAAAGGCTTATGACTCCGTACCACATACATGGCTTATGAGGGTGCTGGAGTTGTATAAAATTAATACAACTCTGCGCACCTTCTTACAGTCATGTATGAGGCAGTGGAGCACGGTGCTTTCCTACCCAGGATGTAAGCAAATCCAAAGGAGTGAAGAACCTGTAAGGATAGTGCGTGGAATATTCCAGGGTGATAGTCTGAGCCCACTATGGTTCTGCTTGGCCTTGAATCCTCTCAGTACTTTACTTGAGGCTTCAGGGCTGGGCTATCGTTTGCGGAGAAAAGGTCACGTTATTTCTCACTTACTTTACATGGATGACCTCAAGTTGTTTGCACCAAACAAGGAGGAGCTGATGGAACTACTAAAAATAACTAAAAATTTTAGTAGTTCCATCAGAATGGAGTTTGGTGTTGATAAGTGTGCGGTCATGCATGTAAAGCGAGGCGGGATAGTGGAATCTGAAAGTCTAGAGCTGTCAGATTTCACAAAACTGAGATCACTCTCCGCAAATGATACCTACAAGTATTTGGGTATGTCGGAAGGATTGGGTATTAATGGGCCGTACATGAAACAATCTTTACAGGAGCGCTTCTTTGGCCGCCTGAATAAGGTACTGAAAAGTTCGTTATCAGGCGGCAACAAGGTACGCGCCTTTAACGGTTGGGTCATGCCGGTCCTGATGTATTCTTTTGGCATACTCAAATGGACTCAGACTGAACTTGACACCCTGGATAGACGAGTCCGGACGCTGCTGACTGCAAATCGAATGCATCATCCTCGTTCATCAGTCATGAGGTTGTACATCCCGCGGAAGTGTGGGGGTCGAGGCTTTCTAAACGCTAAGACCCTTCACAACCGTGAGGTGTGCAATCTCAGGGAACATTTCCTGAAAGTGGACGAGGATATGCATCGAGAAGTAGTCACAGTGGACAAGGGATTCACACCACTATCCTTGGCTAAAGAGAACTGGTGCAAACCCGTAGTACTGAGCGTCAATGACCGCAAGGCGGTATGGAGTAGCAAGGAGCTCCACGGACGCTTCTTTCGGGCTCTCCACGGGCCCGATATAGATTTTCTAGCGTCCGTAGCTTGGCTACGATTCAGTAACCTCTTCGGAGAAACTGAAGGATTTGTATGTGCAATTATGGACGAAGTTATCCTCACGAATAACTACCGGAAATATATTATGAAGGATGGGACGGTTGACATATGTCGGGCATGTCATAGCTCCGGTGAATCCATCAGACATATTATTTCCGGCTGTGGTCGTTTGGCTAATGGCGAATACTTGCACAGACATAATCAGGTGGCCAAGATTATCCATCAGCAACTTGCTTTGAAATACCGGCTTGTTGAGTCTGAGGTCCCGTACTACAAGTATGTGCCCGACCCAGTTCTCGAAAAAGACCATATCACATTGTACTGGGATCGGTCTATCATCACAGACAGGACTATTGTAGCCAATAAGCCTGACATAGTGGTGGTAGACCGACTAGCGCGTCGCACGACGATAATCGATGTTGCCATTCCTCATGACGAGAACCTCGTGAAAGCTGAGAAAGATAAACAATTGAAATATCTTGACTTAGCTCACGAGGTTGTTGACATGTGGAATGTGGACTCGGCCATCGTTGTGCCGATAGTTGTGTCGGCAAACGGGTTAGTCCCCAAAAGCCTCGACAACCACCTTAAGAGGCTGACGTTAGGCGGATGGATCAAGGGCCTCATACAGAAGGCAGTCCTCCTTGAAACGGCACGTATTGTGAGGAGGTTCTTGTCTCTGGAGCCCTAACCGCCGGCAGCTTGGACCTTGCTCCCGCTGCTAGCTGGCTCCTACTTTTATATTTTTAAATATTATTTTATTTTATAGTAATATTTAAAAATGTAATTTTAGAGCGATTTTAATAAATATATGAATAATTAAAATAATAATATTATTACATTATATAATAAAATTCAAAAATTGATAATAACAAAAAATATAAGTCATAAGAAGTCGGCTGGAACCATGCCGCTTAATTCAGCTATTTAGGCTTTTAAATTTCGGCAGGCTATGAAAAACCACAGGCTGTCGATAGCGCAGGCTCTGTTGTAGAAAGTGAACATCCTATATAGGGAACGCACGATGACCCGGGTTTTTGAGGCTAGGTGTGTAGGTGTTAGGTGTAGCAAACATATTACGCTTATGTAGATGCCATAGATCTGCTAGCTAAGAGAATGAGTAACATTAGATTAGGTATATGTATATGTTGCTGAAGCTCAGGTTATTAAATCGGTTATCTGTTATAAATAACGCACTGCATTGCACACCCCATGCTGCGACATGGGGTGGATCGCGCAAAACATCAATGATTAACGATTAAATAAACAAAGAGCCATATTAAGAACAGCATATTCCTTACCGTTTCTATATCCCGTTACAAAACTATACGATAAGTGCAAAGTTCTAACAGTCCGTTAACTAGAACTACATAATAAATATTTATAATATACGTTTGTATATTTATATTATTTTCTTTTATTTCGTTTTTTGTAAAAAAACAATGGAATGATTTTTGATGTTTTATAAAACTATGAATGGGACAAATTCAACCGCATCGTTGTGTTTGCTGTGTAAGTGAGGTTATCGGAGAAATCCTCTCCCCGAATCCCTTCCCAATCCCTAAATCTTCAAATACCTAATCCCCAAAGGTCAACAACGCACTCGTAACTACTCTGTTATTGCGGGTGTCCAGGGGCGGCGCTGATTGCTTACCATCTGGTAATCCGTCGGCTAGCTTGCCCAACTAACACGTACAAAAAAATAGTGTTCGAAGATTTAAGAGTGAAGAAACTTTTGTGTTGGAGTGGTATTAAAAGGTAGTATTGGTGTGTGTCAGGCTGGACAGGCGCGCGCTGCGAGCTGGACGTGGACGAGTGCGCCGCCGGCCTCGTCAGCTGCGGGCCCGGCCACTGCCTCAACCTCAACGGATCCTACACGTGAGTACCCACCGCGACCTGGCCTTCCGCGCCTCGCCTTCTTCCGCTTCCGCTGACCGCCGTCATTGGGCGCAGGTGTCTGTGCGCCGCCGGCTTCTGCGGCATCGAGTGCTCGCTGAAGGACCCGTGCTATGGCGACGGCGACGGCAACAGCACGGGCCCGTGCCTGCACGGCGGGCGCTGCGAGCAACGCTGCGGGGCGCGCACGGACTACGTGTGCCACTGCGAGCCCGGCTGGACGGGGCACAACTGCTCGCAGCCGCTGGCGGCCGAGGCCAGCGGGGGCGCCGCGTCCTCCACCGTGCTCATAGGCGTGGGCGCCGCGCTGCTGGGGCTGGCGCTGGTGGGCGCGGCGCTGGGCGCGCTGGGGGCGCAGGCGCGCCGCAAGCGGGCCACGCGCGGGACCTACTCCCCGTCGGGCCAGGAGTACTGCAACCCGCGCGCCGAGATGATGCAGCACGCCCTCAAGCCGCCCCCGGAGGAGCGCCTCATCTAACGCGCGCGCCGGTACGCAACCACACGCCTCCTTTTTGATTTAGTGCACAAAGTTTTAATATTATTATTGATAGACGTTATTATTCTTTCAGGTGCGGAATAAAATGTAATCGAACAAAATTTTACAAAAGGATGAAGACACGAAAGGACTCGTCGCATATCAACCAAATGATAGTTGTATGTGTTAATGATCAATTGTGTCTGAATGTGTGCGTGTGTTAAGGTTTGTGTATGCGTGTGTATCACGTGTTCCAGTTTGTACCTGTACGTTTTTATACATTGACAGTGTGTATGTGTGATGCGTGAGTAACTTAATACTTAGCTTTAAGATGTACGGAGATACCTCCCGTGAGAATGTACTTATTTTACCAGACTATACGAATTATATTAGTATTTTATATTATTAATGAAATTATATCTACAGGCGCTGGAGGTCAATGTTATTGTGGGCTCCAATCTGTACGGGTTTCTATTTAATAACAAAGTCATGCTATACACATGAGACAGTGGGGTGCTGGTCCCCAGCCTCTGTGGCGCCGTCGCGGAAGACTATCTTCCCGCGGTAACTGTACATTCTTTATAAAAATAACAAATGACGAATAAACGGAAATAATATTAGTATAGAGTAAGAGCTCGATTATTTTGATATAATGGTGTATAGTGCAATGTCGGACTGTTTATAGTGAAATATATATAAATATATTTATGAAATACTGTAATATACTGAATAACGCAGTGCCTCAACTTAGGAATTTGGAATTTTTATAAGTAATCAATTTTGATGAATTTTGATGTAATGAAAGATGGTAAACATTGTATCTGACGAATGGAGTAGTCGTCGCCGCGACTTGTCCGGGCCCCGTACTTAGCACTCGGACAGGCTGACACTGAGCGCGCTTTGTGTCACGCCGAGACTGTAGTCTGTAGAGTAGGTCGAGTGTACACCGCGGTGTCGCCACACCCGGCGTATGTTCACGCTCACTTTTAGCAGTATTTTAGTGTAAGTGTAATGTTAAGTGGTATTGAAAGCGTGCAAGATTCTAAATTACAATGTAGTGAAGACGTCCCTCGTCCGCCACACGAGCCCCGCACTCGGACGCGCCGCTTGCTGCGCCCAGACAAGCAATTACATTTATTTATTGTTTGAGCAAGTCCTCGAGGATGGCAGCTCTTGTTTTGTCGGACAGCAATGACACAAGTATGTAATAGGTTAATGTATTGTAGAGTATCGTAGGTATAGTCCGGGCGGCGCGGCCCGAGTGCGCCGGGCTGCGGCGAGCCGTCAGTGCCTTACCGACAAGTCTGTATATTGGGAACTGTTTACTCTAGCTCTAGCTCTGGCACTAGCCAGGGCTACACCGTATTCATGTATTGCTAGGGATAAGTACACGTGTAACGTAGGTGTAAGGCTCGCAGTACTCCACGACGAGGTTTGTGTTGTTTGGATGTGTGCGTGACTCAATATTCTATTATGTGATAACTTTTTGTTTTTATGTTGTATCAGTTTGTTTTACGTTCATTGTATCCTAAGTATAGACAAGTGTTGCAAATTAGTATTATATATTTCGGCCGTCCGTTGAAACTATTCAATTTTATTGTATTTTTATAGTATAAGTAAGTGTTTTACCAATTTATGAACATTTTTTAATAATCAAAGTACACTAACGATTTTTTGTAATTAGTAACTTCAGAGTGAATATATATGTATAAAATATCGTAAACAATAAGAAACGCGTAGTTTTAACATTATATCCATGTACGTTTTACTATAATTAACAAGTTAATCAGGAATACAATGTCATGATACTGTAGTCGCTAATATTCACTCTGTTGTACATGAACTGATACATTCCCTCAGCACTCTGCGTTGGCTGACCGTAGTAGTATGTATATATAGTATGCGCGTGCGCAGGCTGCCCGTTACCGTCCACAGCCGCGGCGCGCCGGCGCACCTTAGTGTACAGCACCCAAGCCTTATGGCCTTACTCAATTAAACGAATATACTACATGAACATATACTTGTTTTATTGTACTGCCATCCACAAACCACAAGCACATTTAGAATTCAGTGCCTATTCTACGATGCGCTAACTGCGGTAAGCAGTTTAACTGCGCGCTTATAGGTAGTACTTCAACGTCAGGTTATATTGACATCACAAAACCCTTACGTTACATATTATGTATATCATTTAAAATTGTACCTTATGAAATACCGAATGTTGCCTATAAAGCTCTATGTTTGTTAAAGATAGATACATAGCATTTTTTGTGAGGGGAAAATCATCAAATGACTTTTCCCGCCCAGGGTGTGGGGTAGGCATGCTCCATCGCAGGTAACGTTATGGTTTACCACCAGGCGTGATGGCGGCCAAATGTCTGCCCATTGCAAAATAAAAAAAGGGTGCGGCGGGAGCAAGTGTCAGACTCAGTGACTTAAAACACCCCCGTTCCATCCCTCGCTCTAGGTCGAGGCCGCGGTGCCTCAATTGCACTTACACCGCAACCCCGGCAGATAGATATGCCTGGTATATAATTAAGGGATTAAAAAGACATACGATTTCGCACGCCTAAGCATACCAAAAGAAAGCAACATTTTCACTCGGGTATTGAAGACACCTCTCCAGGGAACACACGACTCCAGCAAAGAATTTCATTGCATGAGGGTGCGGGTTCGACCTGGCAAGCACCAATGTGACTTTTTCCGAGTTATATGTACTTTCTATGATTATTTAGACACCACTGACATACGGTGAAGGTAAACATCGTGAGGAAACCTGGACTTATAATTTCTAATTATAAGTTTGAAATCGCCAACCCGCATTGAGCAAGCGTGGTGATTAATGCTCAAAACCTTCTCCGTGTGAGAAGAGGCCTTAATTTGCTCAGCAGTGGGCACTTATAGGCTGATGATGATGTGAGAACAATGCAGAGGCAAGTTGTTACTAAAAAGGACCAAATGATGGGATCTATCATTAAAATTTTAATCCCTTATCGCCTCGAACATGGCGCTCACATATGCGTACTCACAATCCAAGAGAATGCTTCTATATAAACTCATTCAAGGTTTCATTAATTTTGAGAATTTTAATAACTACTGACTACATATTTGAGTATTGTCCAGTGGAGCTAAACCAACATGCTGCCACGCATTGTAAAGTTTGTAGTATGCCTGTCTACACAATTCGCGTTTAATATAAGTTTTAAATTTTCTTTCAATATGAATATACACTTCTTGGAATTTTATTGTAACAATTTACACAGAACCCCATAAAGGATTTCTGTACTTTGGACAGACGGAATCGTGGCACAGCCAGCCTATCTTTGCCTCTAGTATTAAAATTATGTTTATCGCTTCTTTTTTCAAATAATTGCAAATTTTTCCTTACGTACATAATATTTTCATATATAAATTGACAAGGTACCGTTAGGATATTTTTCGTTATTATACTATTTAAAATAGTTCTCTCAGAGATTCACGAGGGGGCAGGTTATATATCGCTCGGATAGCCCGCTTTTGCAAAATAAATATTGAATCTACTTCCGCAGCTCGACCCCACAGCAAAATTCCGTACGACATAATGCTGTGAAAATAGCTAAAATAGACAAGCCTTGCTGTGTTCACGTCTGTGAGCTGTCTAATCTGTCTAACTGCAAAAACAGCTGAGGTTAGTCTTCCCGAAAGCGTCTTTATGTGGGAACCCCATTGAAGTTTATTGTCCAGCGTAATACCTAGGAACACAGTCTCGGTAACAAATTCTAAGTTTTGCCCATTTAAAATTATGTCACAATCATTACTGTGTACGTCGGGCAAGCTAAATTTAATACATTTTGTTTTTTTCTCGTTAAGTGCTAAATTATTGACTGTAAACCAATTATGAACTTGTTGAATGGATCTGTTTACTTCGTCCAAATTATTAACACGCCGAGCTATTTTAAAAATTAATGATGTATCATCTGCAAACAGCACCATTCTTGGCTCGGTTTTAAATAGAAATGGCAAGTCATTAACATACACTAAGAAGAGAAACGGACCCAATATTGAACCTTGTGGAACGCCCATTCTTATCTCAGAGCCCCGTGAGGTAGAACCACCTACATGAACCCTCAGCTGCCTATCCTCTAAATATGATTTTAGTAGACGGAGTGCAGTATGTCTAATCCCGTAATGACCTAATTTCAGCAACGCAATCGAACGCTTTTGAGAGGTCGCAAAAGACACCAACAGCATCCTGTGCTTCCTCCCAAGCACCGAATACTTCCTTTATCAATGTGATACCGGCATCAGTTGAACAACGAACTTTAGTGAAACCGTATTGTTGGTGATCCGAGATAGCATTAACTTTTCGAACACTTTGCTAAGAACCGGCAGAACAGACACAGGCCTATAGTTGTTTGGTTCCTTAGTGTCACCAATTTTAATAATGGAATAACTTTACTATATTTCGTTAGGTTCGGGAAGACACCGTCATCTATACTTTTATTGAAAATAAAAGCCAGGTACGGCGCTAAAGTTCGGATAAGTGATCCGCAGACTTTCACCGATAGTCCCCAAAGGTCCTCAGTTGATTTGATCTTGATTTCTTTAAAAACCTTTATTATCTCTAAAGGATTAGTATAATGAAAACTAAAATCGTCTTTGCATGATTTGACTTTTCTCTAAGCAAAGTTACCGATAGTCTGGTTTCGCAATAGATTACGAAGCGTTTGCTCAGTTCAGAACCTAAGTTAAAACGAAGCTAGAAATAGCAGAAAAACAGCGAATACAAGGCAAGGTCCCCGAAATGCTTTTGCAATTATGTAAATTCCAAGAGTAGCAGTAGGAGTAAGCTTAAAACTATTACTATCCAGCTCAGGTACAAAGGTTTATACCTACCTCAGGGTATAAACTGCAGAATAATCAGCGTTGACGCTGCAGTACTGGGGCCTAAGAAAAAGAGAGTAAGTATATCGGACTTAATTGGTTGCATTAAAGTTTCAGAATATCATCTATACTTTTTTATTTATTTATTTATACACCAACTTACACTTACGGCTTACACCACACATATAAGTTAGAAAAAGATATGTATAGTGTCAGTCTGTCGGTTAGTCCTCTTTAGTGAAGCTATTTTCTCGTTTCAAAGTGTAGATTCCCATGGAGAAGACCGAACAAGAAACTCCATGGTTACTCTTTTAAGAGTATTGCCTACTATTAAGTTAAAAAAACACTATTTGTTTGGCGCCTGGACAGGTGTGTTTACTCTGTGACTAATTTTTTTTAAATGCACCAAAATTAGTTCTAAATGTAGTGGTTATAAACTCTTTGATTAGTTCATTTGTTAAAAAAATTGTTGTGTGTGTTTTAAGTTTATTTGGTTCGTACTCTGATTAATAATTAATTTAAAAATAATTTTATATGTATTCTAATTTCTAATATGATATAGACATGAATAATTATTGTTTAGAATTTAATACCAAAATGTTATTTTATTCGATAAACTCAATATTTCTTCACCAACGACGGTAGTGTATGTGAAACTATAAATTATATAAGATCTCGATGTATACCGCGTGCGTTCGTGCAGCGGAATGTTGTTGAATTTAACGATTTTAATTATGCAGATATTTAGTGTATGACGTCGTATAATTGTGTATGGTAAAAAAAATTGTGCAAAGTAAATTCCAAATTAACGATGTGTCATCAGCAAATAATACCATTCCCGGTTGACGTTGAAATAAATGAGGTTAGTCATTTATGTACACTAAAACAGGAAAGGACCTAATATCGAGCCCATAGATATGTTAGCACCCTGGGAGTTAACTTTATTTCCTTGTACTTTGAGTTGCCTATCTTGGAATATGATTTTAATAAATTGAGGGATACCCCTCGAATGCCGTATTGTTCCAACTTCAGCAACAGTGTTGCGTGTTCAACGCAATCAAAAGCTTCAGACAGGTCACAAAAAATCCCAATAGCGTCGTGTGACTTTTCCCGTGAGGAAAAAACATGCTTAGTTAGAGTTACACCGGCGTCAGTTGTATAGTGGTCGAGTTCGCTTGTTACTTCTGTAAGTAAATAACTCGAACTCGATCATTTTATTTGGAGTCTTACACCTAATTGGAAAACGAGAAAAGAAACAACAAATAGTAGCTCTAGACACGTCCTTTATTCAAATACTGTACAGGCTTCATAGAATATGATACAATAACAACGCACGCCGCTTTCCCGCGGGCTCCCGCCTGGCGGGCGGCGCCAAGTGTCGCGAGGAGCATGCAGCGCTGGGGTCGGCGCCGGCCCCTGCGACGCCGCCCTATACACGCCGCCAGGGCGTCGCAGCGACCGCGCGCTGACACCTACACCATGCCAAGCCACGCGTACAAGCTACGCAACGGAATGACTTAGATTTACTTCCTCGCACTATTATTAAATAATCTGTTAGTTCCCTCCCCTAGAGCGGGCGCTGCTTTGTTTGGCACCACGTTAAATAATTTATACAAAAATCACAATGAAAATATACATGGAGGGATTTGGAAGTACTGTTCCATTACACGGATCACTGAGTGGGTGACATTTTACAATGAATAATAATAATTACATCGATATATGAATAACAAAAGTTCGCGCGTACTGCAGTCCGCGCAGACGTAGCACCACTTGTGAGCACTTCTCGTTACCTTACACGCCGCTGTGTCGCCAGACAGAGGCTGGAAGAGTCTACAGGAGACAGTGGAGGAAGCACAGGCGCTACGAGGATATAGGAACAATCAGTCGTCGAGTAGGTCGTCATTAAATTGAAAAGATTCCTACTTACATTAAAAAGAAATAAAAAATAATGTAAATCATACAAAACATGTCGGACTGCACGAACACAACCATTCTCTGTAGAACTGCTACCGAATAATAATAATAATTAACATTAAATTACGAGTCGTAAAACAATTATGGCATAATTTATATTACAAAAACAATAAATATATGTATATGCATTGCTCGAGGTCCCGGCGGGACGTATATAAAAGCTAATACACAGTAGGAGCAGGTCGGTGTCAATCTCATGTAATACTGTCCACAACAACGGCCGAGAGGCGCGACTGGAGCCGGGCCAGGCCGGGTCGCACCGGGCCGGGCCGTACCGGGCCGGGCCGCGCCGGCCGCGGCCGCCGTCTCCGCGCCGTAGGCTACCTGCAGGCATGATAGGCAGCGTTAGTAACGGCTTAAAAACATTGAAACCAATAAAGTGTTTTTTTATAAAAACCCTCACTAGTATTGTCTTCTATGTATGTTTTGCTTGACATACACGTAATTTCACACCCGGAACATAACACGTGGATTACACAAAGGAGTGTTTCTTGGGGGAGTCGAACACGCGACACGTTGCAGAGTATTATTCCAAAGAATTCGGAGGTCCGAAGCCTTTTATATAGGTATTGGGATATTGACAAGAAGAAGCATTCGAGTGGGCGAGCATAACGAGCAAGGCGCGTACCTGTTGTCGTGCGGATGCAGTACGACGCGCTGGTAGTCGCGGCGCGCCAGCTGCTGGCGCTGGCGGCTGCCGAGCTCGGCCGTGCCGTCGCGGGAGATGAACAGCTGCAGCCCCGACGCTGCAACCACAACCACTCCGTCACTACTACCCTGCACTACTTCCACCACTCCGCGCTACTACACGACCCGGTGCGCCAATACTCACTCTCGGCGGAGTCCTCCACGGCCTGTTTGAGGTTGGTGTTTGCGAGGAGCTCGTCGATGAGGGAGTCAGGATTCACCCGTGTGTTTTCCACGCGCCCCGATGCGACGTGCTGTAAGGCCAAAGTCGAAAAATATAAATGACTCATACCAAAAATCTGTACCTGACACTGACAAGTCTGCAGTGGAATTTTAAGTCCATTATTTAAAATACGATACAGAATTGAGTATTGTGTGCAACAGGCAGGGTACACCTAACAGTATGCGCAACGTAGAGTGAGGTACGTGGGTACAGTACCTGTGCGTCGTCGCAGTCCTGCTGCGCGGCCATGCGCTTGCGCCGCTCCAGCGCGGCGCGCGCGCGCTCCAAGGAGCCGCCCTCGGACGCGGACGCTGTCAGCGAGCCCGACGATGGGTTCCTGCGCACGCGCATACACACTGTATACTCACGCCACAATGTGATAGCTGACATACCCACGTTTGGCATAAAATTACGATTATTGTGTTTTACAAAGCGTATTATAGTAGTAGATAAGTTTGCGACACAAAATCATGCAGCATTCGATGTTATTGCAACCCACAGCATGCACGTACAGCGTCATGTTCATATCAAGCTTAAAATAAAAGTTAGACGTAAAACAGAAAGAAAATAGACATGCGTTCGGAATATATCTGCATTAAATTACAAGTGTGACCCAGTCATCGACATCGACCAATCGTACGCTATAGACGACAATGTACATAGCACGTCATATATGTATACGATATCTTAGTATACTGTAACAATTTTTGTTCTATGAAGCTGTAATAAAATACTACCAAATTAATATAAAAGACATTTATTATTATAAACCCAAACAATAAAAATTTCAAAGAAGTATAGAGCGACACATAAGGCCGGGCACACGCCACGATACGACACAACATCTACACATAGAGCGCGGTACTGTGCACGTACAGCGCCGAGCTGGGCCGGCGCGGCAGCGAGCCCGCCCCGTGCGCCCCCTGCGGGCCTGCGTGCGCCCCCTGCGGGCCGTGCGCCCCCTGCGCCCCCGGCGCGCCCCCCGCGTCCCGCAGCGCGCTGCAGACGCCGCAGTCCGGCCGCCTGCACACAACGGGGTCAGCGCGGCGCTCGCGTCTTCACTAGACACACGTTATAACAGGGACCGCATCACACAGAAGACACATTCACAGTTAGAAGACAGGACAGAGGGAAAAACTAAAAAGAAGTAGCACTGCCATCCGCCGATACCACCCGCAACCGTTTAGTAGACAGCAGAGGTTATGGGAGAGGGCGCGGGACAGCAAGCGGGGAGCTCACCTCACGTGCTCCGAGTAGCTGTGGCGCAGCCCCGCCAGCTCGGGCCGCCGCGCCGCCTTCTTGCTCGGCTGCTCCGCCTCGCTCTTGGGCGTCGACGTCAGTACCACGCCCTCGTTCAGAGCCTGGTTCGACAGGCTCTTGAACCGGTATCGAATGTCTATACACTCCGAGGAGCCTACGTCTACCTCGGGGTCGGAGGGAATGCAATAAAACTCGTCCTCTATGCAGCCCGAGAGTCGGTTCGCGGTGCACACGAGCGAGTTCTTCCTGTGTGCGAGAGGTGTCAGGAAAGGGAAATTGTTGAACAGCTCCTCGTTCTTCTTGTTCTTTTCCAGCAACGCAGGGATCGTATTGAGCGACTTCTGCTTGAACATTTGGAAGTTAGTAAGAGGCTCGACGGCGGCGCTGATGATAGTGGCGGCCACTTTCTTCTTCTTGTCGAAGTACGTGGGCATCGCGAACGAGTTTTCGTGGCCGTTGACGAGCGTGGCGTCGGGCGTGCAGTACTGGTCGGAGGCGGGCGAGGCGGGCGAAGCGGGCGAGGCGAGCGCGTGGCGCGGGATGACGTCGGGCGGGCCCGTCAGCGTGCAGTTGGGCGTGAGGTACAGCTCCGAGCTGTCGCCGCCCTGCTGCACGAGCAGGCGGGCGAGGGCGCGGCCCTGCTTGCACTGGGGGGGGACGCTGTGCGGGGGGCGGCGGGGAGAACGAAAACATAAAAAATTAAAATTAATAAAAAGCAATAAATAAGAGTGGCAACAGAAAAAAAATAAAGTTAGTTACCGTGCGTAACACAAAGTTAGGTAAATGAAATGAACATAAAGCGTAACATTGGACACTGTACAGTGGGTGAGGGGAGCGGGCGCCGCCGCAAGGAGGACTCGAACACGCGGCAATACAATGGAGGGAGTACGAGCATGAGGTTGCACCGAGGTTAGACGCCTGGGTCCCGCATCCGAGCCGTCACCGAGCCGACAAGCCACAGAGTACGTGCGCCTGCGTGGGCAGGGCCAGTGTTCACCTGTTGTGGTGAGGCCGGCCCGAGTCCCCGGCCGAGTCGCCCTCGGAGCTCTGCCGCGAGTGCGCCGACGCAGCCGACGAGCTGCCGTAGCCGGACGCCTGGGGACATGTTCCAGTCGTCACAACTTAAACGAGACTAGTTAGTACTATTGCTACGCTAATCAATTGAATAATGTTCGTTGAGCACGTTCAGTGACATAACAGCGACTTATCGGAAAATTAATGAATACCTCGCATAAAAAACCAAAGTTAAAAGCAACAAATGAACAATTAAAAAGAAAAACTACGGTGGTTGAGTATGCACCTTGCTGCTCATGTCCCCGGAGGTGTTGGAGGAGTTCCGCGAGTGCGTGTGCTGCTGCTGCTGCATGCAGGCGGCGCAGGCCGCGCCCCCCGCCGCCCCCGTCCCAGCCCCCGCCGGCCCCGCCGCCGCCGCCGGGCCGCTGCCGCTTCCCACCGCCGCCATCATCGTCAGACCTGAAATACAAACAATTCCAATACAGTTGCTGTAGCAAAGAGGCGTAACATGTGATTAGAAGCGACTTATCAGCACATGACAGCAGACGACGGTGGTCTCCGCTAACATCAACTTACCGGGGTGGTCGGGCGCAGAGGTGCCCAGTGGCGAATCTTCCCCGTCAGGAGTGGGTAGCTCGCAGGAAGGCAACAAGGACAGAGGTTGGGGTATGCTTCCCTCTGAAATAGGCGCGCAGCAACACCAGTTAGTACAGACAAAGCCAGACGCAACAGTAAACTTACAAATTCAGTCGTATTGCAAGTCAGCACGACGCTAGTGCGGGCTTTTGCAGACATACCGTAGTTCTTCTTTTTGGTTAGTGAGCCGAAGCCCGAGGAGGCGGTGGACGATGCGCAGTCGTCATCAGGTTGCGTGCCGCCCGGCACACTCTCTGAGCCACTGTCGCCGCCCGTCATGCCTTCCGTGGCCTCCTGTTTGCGCTCCGGACTGGAATTTGTTACGGGGTATTCAGTACAAGTCAATATAATCAGTCAAGACAGTAGCGATGCTTCCATCCGCAACAATAATAATAAGTGAATTAGTATGTAACTTACACTTTAAAGAGTGGGTCCCCAGAGATCATGTTCATCTTGATGCGCACGCGCAGCACCGAGTTGTCCTGCCGCCGGCGCGGGTCGTACCCCTCCAGCAGACAGCGGCGCGTCGTCTCACCCGCGCCCGCCAGCTCGGCCAGGTTCACGTCGCAGAAGCCCAGCTTCTGGTATGACCTACCGCCTGAAATAAAACATTTATTTACGAATTGAATAAAAACTTTTAAGTTATTTTATACCTACGCCAGCTTTAAATTCCTAATACTTTGTTAACTTTACGTATAGCAAGTTGGAGTTTGGATAGTGTACCTAAGTTTTTAGTCGGTCGGCTGGCAGCAAGTACCGGCTGCATGCACTGGCACGCTTGTTGTACGAGTACATACGTGATATTTGCATTCATCGTATTCATTACTTTGACTCTCTTTGAATGTTGAGTATTCCAGTGGCAAAGTTTACATGAAAATGTTTTTACGGGTACAAACGACAGTTAGGGAATCGCTGGAGTTAGTAACACAAGTATTTGATACAAGTGCGGTTCCAGTGTAATGCCGATGCCGTGACGTATATTTGTCTGAGCAAATAGGTACACTATGCAGTCCGATTAACAAATCATCTGACTGAAAGAATATCTCAATCTTAAAGCATTTAATACTTAAGAAGATAAGCCCTTAAGTATTAACTACATTTATTTCTTCTTGGTGAAATGTTCACTCCTGTGAAAGGTAACTCACCGTTTTCAAGCAAAACGATATTTTATAACATAATTACAAAACACTAAAAAACACTTAATATGCTTATCCGACGGAGCCCTGCTACGCAGGGGAGTCCCGCAGAGCGGGGCTCCAGATTCTGGGTGGAATTCCAGAGGAGAGTTAGATTTGAGGTTAGATTAACTTACGTTGTAAAATATCCATTACTTTGTGACAAGAGTGGTAGCGTTATAATCGGGAACCCTACAAACAAGCATTGACCTTTTTTAGACCCCAAATCCTGCTGCACCAAAGTAAAGTCAAGCCACTATTTTAGAATGAGTGAATATTTGGTGGCGACCTATGTTAGGTGGATATCCTGTAATCTATACTTGTAACAAATCTGTAGAGGGGTCAATTCTGTACATTAAATATACTTTCAAAATAACTAGTAGGGGGTGATAAGTGATCGATACCGATGCCAAAAATGTATTCAGTAAAATGTTTGTCTGTCTGTCTGTTTGTTTGTTCTTTATAGAAACGAAAACTACTCGACGGATTTTAACAAAACTTGGTACAATTATTCTTTATACTCCTGGGCAGGATTTTATGTACTTTTTATGACGTTACAAATAATAGGAGCAGAGCAGTGAAGGGAAATGTTGGGAAAACGGGAGAAGTTACTCCATTTTGTAAGTTTCCGTCGCGTGTGTAACCTTAATGGTTAAGGTTACATAGAAATTATGTATGACGGAAATATTATACATAAAATTGTCTAAAAAATGTTATACAGCATAATATGTCTATCTTTTATTGTTAACTCACAATAGCACGCGTAACTCCTGATCGCTTAGCAGTTCGGATAATACCAATCGCGCCGTCGCATGTGAGCCCTGAATCATGCTATAAGAATTATTTTTGTGTAACGGTTGCCGTGCTCGACGCAACGCCGTATAAAATATTATATAATATAGGTTTTATGAAATATTTGTAATTCTTACTTATTAGTTAGTTTCGTACCACTCTGTCTGTGGACGGACGGACAGTGGAGACTTAGTAAGTAATAGGGTATTTACCCATTGGAGATGTACCCATAAAAATGAGACGATTAATAACAAATTTTATGTATACATAGATTTTGTTCTATTGCTATAGGCTGCTTTTTATCAACACAGCATGCGGGCGAAGCCGCTGGCGAAAACCAGTATGTGATAAGATGGTGATGATGAACTTACCTTTGCACTCCTTGCGTACAGAGACCCTCATGAGCGCGGGCTCCAGCACGCCGGTGCTGGCGTTAGCGCACATCTTGCACACGAACGAGAACTGCGCGTTCCACCGCACCGCGTGGTTCCGCACCTCTTCCCTGCGGACAATACAAACAAAAACCATCAATAACACAATACATCGAATAAATTGTTCAATTAAATATAAATCGAAACAAACTGCTTCAAGGAAAATATCACACCTCCACAGTTCTTAAGGGTAGTGCCTAGTTACCAAGGAGTAACCAAACGGCATGTATCGGGGTCGCAGCACCTCAAAAGGCACGGCTTGAAGCAGGAGTTACATCGGGATGGTTTTATTTCGGTAAAAGTTTGACACTTCTTCCTCCTGCATCATCCAGAGCGGGAGAAGTCATTAGATAATTTTCCATCCCTTCAAGAAAAATGGCGAATAATGTAACCTTCTTGATTTTATAGTTATTGCCCTACATCGCAATGATTTATATAGACAGAATACTTAAGCACCGCTAGTCCTGACTGCAGGAGGTGTGTTTTCTATGTATGCACTGGCATTTTTTACCAACTATGTACCTCGCGGGTTGCTCGATGTAATTAATTAAATTCACTATGTGGTGTAATTATGATTATTATACGAGTATAGAAAGAAATATATGAGGTGGGAAGTCCTTACATACAAACTAAGCACCAGCTTACAATAAAGTTTTTAAATAGTATACTAGCTACTATCAATCCACCACACTCTATGGATTTAGACATGATAAAAGGATGAATAAAATACAAAAGGTACCTATAGGAATACGTAAAATAGTATAGAGTTAATTAAGTATTTTTTCCGCTAGGCTCGGTCTAAATGTTTCAGAATACATTGGTTTATCTCTCGCCGGCAATGAATGAATTATCCGAATTATAAAATATTATCCATTAGATTTGGCCAATTTTTATAATGCCAAACAATATACTAATCGTAGTACATCGAGTGACCAGTGACCATGCAGGATCTCTGTTGTTTTAATTAGTCTTTCGGTATTTAGCTATCAAACTAAGATGGCTGCGCTTAAGACTAACAGCGAAGTGCTAAAGTAACGGTACTTACATTCGCTTAGACCCGTGTAAATGTAATGACACAGATCACAAATAGAACTCTGAACTGGAACATACGACCATTAAGTCTATCAGGTAGTTAAAAATACAGTAGCTAATGTATTTATCAGTTATTAGGAGTCCATAAATGAATAATAGTGTGTATACTGACATGGAACACGCAAGTTAGTTGTTGTAGCCTAAATAAATATCGATTTAATACCAATGTAGTGTATGTAGGTACACTAACGATACGCAGTGGTCTGGTAAAGAATTTGAAAATAAACGTCGCAGTGTATAATTTATCGTAGTCGCGTCCCGGCGTAGTATCGGGGGCTCGGCGATAAAACTGAGCCGCACAGTCTGGAGGCTAAGAGACGTGCGAGCGGCACGAGATACAGGCCTATCGCAATATATTACAGCATTTAAAATGTAGGTAACCAAAACAAGAGCCATGTCTTACCTAAACCTAATTATCCTGTGCTTTAAGTGCATGAAAGCCAATGAAGTAACGGTATTTATTCAAATAGAGTAGCTATATTACAAGTTTGTGCGACCTACAATAGATACGCATGGCGACACTGTCCTAAATAGCGTTGCCCATGCCGTCCCAAATCTAGCAGTCAACGATACTACTCAAATGGTAATGAGAATGTTCGCGTGCCGGACGGGGGCCACTTCCGCCCGCTAATTGCCCTTGTGATAATACAGTCCGTGCTTAAGATAATGGGAATTTTATTTCGTTATCTTTTGTTTAGGGACCTTTCCCCTTCAAGTGCACTGGACAAGATTTTACCGAGTTAAGACAACTCTGTTATGTTGGAGCGAGGCCTTTGCCGCAGCAATGGGGCATAAAAGGCTAGTAAAAAAACGACAACTCTTATTATGAATAGACGTACGAAATTTTCCCTCTGGGCAATCAGGTTACGCCATAGTTGTAGTTATATACAGTTTGCTCAGTTCTCGGAAGCAGAGCTCGTACCGAAGCTGCTCTCTCTGCTGTAATAGAGGAGCAAGATGAATACAGTTCCTGCTAAGTGGACAAAGAGCGTCTGTCTAAACAACGAGTCGACTGCCAATGAGTAGCAAGCAATTAATGTGATTACACCATTGTTTAAGTTAGATTAATTAACATTCTAGGTACAAGTTTCAATGTTAAGATTTTTTGAGGGGCCATGTAAATAGTGTCGGTGATCTAAGTCCATAAAAGTGCTAACGAGCTTCTAGAAAAATCTAGCCAGTAGTTTTTAAAGATTGAGCACTGCTACAACCAACTTTACACTTGTAATTATGTTTCGATCAGACACAGTTCACGTAGCTGACGACAGTTTTTTTTATTTATGTTTAGACCTTCCGTAAACCGGTGTCTGATAGGCATATAAGTTGTAAGGTTGTTATTTTGACAATATTTATGTTACAACTTTCGTCAATGTTGTGCCAAGGTGCCGCGTTGCATATGTTCACGGTCAGACGTCGGCGCGGGCCCTTACACTTCACGAGCGGCCAACGTCACGGCTGGTGCGCCGGCCACACCTGACCGGTAATTAATCATTTATATAATTAACTTAATTCCTTTCTTTAGTTTATACCCGTCGGGTGGGTATCGTGCCCTACTAGAATTAACAACATATCACATTATAATTTACGGCCAAGCTAGTGCTTACTCTATGGAACTCTTGGGAGGAGCAACGGCCTCGTTTGTAACATGAGCCTGAGTAATAGCTTTATGGACAATAACGTATTGAAATTATTCACAGAATGGGTTTTATGTCCGCAGATAAGATATATGCCAGCCTCGTGAAAAAAATTGGATCGGTAAACACATTAAAGCAGTTTTATGACCGAATTGTACTGTATTATTATTGACTGTATTTATAATGACCACAGCATTCTGTAGTTGTTTAATTACACCAAGTTTGAGATTGTTAGAAAGTGAACGTTGCACCGCGAATCACATATTCATGAAAGTCTAACTGATTACCAGAACAGTACTTTCAATCGACGCGATCGCATCGTAGTGAACACGAAATCGGTTAGATTACTACGTAATATTATATCGGGACAAATTATCCATGATGCAGTCAACAAGACCATGGAAGCAACCGTTGTTGAGAAATTTGTATTCATCTTACATAGTATTTCACAAGAAAATATATGAATAGTTAATAATGTTATTATTTATGACGGATTGCGTCAACGAGTCTGTTTGCTGGACGTTTATTATATTGGGTATTAACGAGCGTAGCATGCTGATGCCACATTTCACTAGCTACGGTCACCAGATGTTGCAACAGATTACACTGTGATACAAGATGCTGGTACTTCTTTAACCAGATGATTGGACCCCGCATAAATTTAAGGAGGGTTAGTACTAGGTGTATAACCAAAACTACAGAATAAGAAATAGTACTCAAACTGTTGTAAATCACGTGCAATCCAGTAGGTACTTAACAAATCTAGATCCACTTCGTTCTTTACATTTACTGTTCTTTTGAATCTCACTTTCGGAGAACACTGTTCTACAAGAAACGACAGTTTATTCGTTGGAGGAGACAATAAGGAATTAATGTTGTTCCACGAATGATATTAATTATACAATTACAACGTTAATTAGTGAAACTTCACGGTCCAGGAGCTGTAGTCGCGTCGCGTAAGAGAACAACACACATCAAACAAATTTATAATAATCCATCAGGCGAACATTAGCGGAGTTCGCATGCGCATTAGTGTAAATAAAACTGACAGTAAATTGCGCGGTGACATTGTAATAGCGTCATGCGTGAGAGTGTGCGGCGGTGGTGCGGAGAGCTTCATTTTACTGCGCACGCATTAATACTTCATACTTTACCGGGTTAATGGTCTGTACTGAGTACTTTCAGGAAGCAAGACATCGCGCAATGTTCATCGGTCATATTCAATATTACTCAAGTACAAGAGCCCTAACCTAACGTCTCATAAACGCGGGTGAGGGTTCGAAACCTGGCAAGTTTCTATATAATTGACTCTTCTTTTTGACTATACCTTCCCATAACGCAGTAAAATGACTATTGTGATGACAATATTATGATTAACAGTTAACTTTAAATGAATAAAAATGCAGAACAAAGTAACGTGGGTACAAGTTACTGGAAGGGACTGTGTACGTAAAGCAGTCTTGAAGATGTTACAGTATACGTAGCAATTGCAACAGACGGCCCCATTCCTTTAGTTTACGAGGCGAGCCATGGACGGTGCGCGAGCGCAGCCGTGTTTTACGGTGTGAAGCGAGACGGGAGATTTAAAGCTACCATAAACTATCCAAAAATTACTTGTGGCAAGAAGTATCTGCCTATTCAAAAATTAAATGATTTATATCTAAGTCGTAAAATATTTTAGTTGGTGAAAAAGAGAATAGATTTGAAGCATCCACATATATGATTTTGCAGTCTAATTGTAGATCTTTTTGTAGGGCTTATACATATATGTACATGTTGAATAACAATTTGTGACGGTTGATATCTTTCTACCGTATTGTATGACAATCACACATTAAAGGCAGGGTAACGAGAGCAAGGTCGGCAGATGTCGCGAGTCGCGGTGTCGGGTGTCGGACAGATGCCCAGCGCGAACTACGCACCGCGAAACTCGACACTGCTTCACTGACTAACAGACGCCCAATTGCAGATTACAGACTTCGGAAAAATTCAATAATAAAAATAGTGAAAAGTTCTAAAAGACAACTTCGTTTCGGTTTGTAAAATAAAATAAACACGTAAACAACAATACTGGTATGGTAATGATCCAACGATACAGGAATGTAAAAGAATAAAACAAATGATCAAATATGTATAAGAGGGCCTACTTGTGGTTTATAGATCGAATAAGCAGAACTGTTGACTAATGACCATGTCTTGTGGTAGTAGCAGGTCATGATCTCATTTCTTACATTAAATTGATTCATTGGCTTTCCACTCTTTCTATGTTCTTTATTTATGAAGTATACGATTTAGGATCTTTAGAGGAATTCGATTACATAGTCTAGTGGCTGTGCAATTTTCTC